CAAGTTAGAGGCACAATTGCGAGAGAAGGATGAGATATTGCATGAAGCAATGAAATCTGTAGGTACCTAAATTATATTTTTATAAATGTAATTGACACTATCACAATTCTATTTCACTCTAGTTTGATACAATGAAAACGAAGTTTGATATGGAGGTTGAAGAGTACAAGCAGACCATTCAAGAAATCCAAATAGAACTATCAAGATCAAAAGAAGAATGTGAGAAACTGAAACGACAACTGTCGGAGCATGCTTTGAAAAAACAACTTGCGGCTCAGCAACAAAAATACGACAAATTGGCCAAACAAAAGGAACAATTAGAGAATACCGTTCAAAAATTAACATCAAATCTTTTGAAAGCTGAAGAAAAGATTGCAGCTATTGAACTTCACAAAACCAATGTTGACAAGTATGAAATTGAGCAACTGCGCAAAAAAGAAGAAAAGCTCAAAGAAAAAATCGAAGACCAATTGAGAAATAGTGTTAATCTGGATACCCACAAAATGCTTATCAACGAAAACCAAAGACTGAAGAACAAAATTGAGGAACTTTCTAAAAAGGACGAAGTGATTTTCAAGGATAAACAAGAATCGTTAAAAAAGATTGAAGAACTCACAAATGAACTTAATGAAGTTAAAAGGATAAGACAAGAAAAGGCTAACAAGATTATTGACCTCCAGAAAGAAATTCAAGAGCATGTGAGGACAAAGAAGAAACTCAAGAGTGATATTGAGAAAGTACAAAAGGAAAATGAAGAGCTACAGAAAGCAAAACAAATGCACATGGAAGAAAAAAAGGGTCACTCTCAACAAATTGCAAAAGCTTTAAAGAAATATAACGATTTACTCGAAGAACGAGACAAAATTAAACAAGAAGTTACCAACTTGAAGAAAGAGCTGGCGGAGATTGAAAATCAAAAAGATATCGAAAAGAAGCACGCTGTTGAAAAAACCAGAGTTGAATACCAAAAGCAAATACAAGCCAATAATGAGGAAATCAATGAAATTAAGAAAGAAAAAGAAAAACTGATGAGTGAAATTGAATCTCTCAAAGTTGAAAACTCCGAGCTCAAAAACTTTACCTTCTCTAAAAAGGACTCTTTGACAATGCAAGCTCAAAAAGAGTCAGCCAAGAAAGAGTCAACACTAAATTCCAAGATTGACAAGTTACAACAAGAAAATAGCATCCTACAACAACAATTGAACGAGCTAAGAAAGGAAAATGATGATCTCAAACAAACGAAAATGATTGTCGACTCTACCACCAAGTCGACCAATCAAACAAGAAATGATCAATTAAAACGACTCACTAAAGAACTTGAGCAAGTCATCGAAGAAAGAGACTCTTTGAAGAAAGAGCTTGAAGAAGTCAAACAAGAATTGGAAGAGCTAAAAAATTCAGCCAAACTGAAATCACAACAATACTTTGAGAAGAAGCAACAAGACATGTCTCTAAATTTGACAAAGGCTCTAAGAGAAAAGGAAGAAGCAACTAGGGAAAAGAACAGATTATTACAAGAGGTAAAGGAGTTGAGAAAGGAAAATGAAGAGCTTAAAGGTAAGTGCCGTTTTCTTTTGAGACACACAACAATATCAACATTACATTTCGTATGGTAGGAGAATTGAGCGCTTTTGATCCAGAGTTCTTTGAAGAAATTGAAGATTTGAAATATAACTATGTTCAATCCCTTGAGCAAATCAAACAGTTGAAGAGGAGGTTACAAGATTTGGAAAATTAGATTAAAATATTTGTTTGAGAGAATTTGAATTTATGCTACAATGAACAATTGTTAAGACAGTGGAAAAGAAAATTGAGATATTTAGAACCTTCCACGAAAAGGATGATACGCTCATTGAAGCATGTTGGAACCCCATTAGAAGGGTGACGACCTTGTCAGAAACAATTTTAGTGACCAAATCCTTTTGGAGATTAAATGATCCAAGGAAATCCCTTTCCATCCCTCTTCAACTTGTTATTCGAACGCCATCCACTTCATTATCCTCTTCATCAAAACATGGTTTTTCATCACCCCGTATCCAAATTTCCATCTTCATCAATCCATGAACAATAAAGACACTTGGCGGCTCAAAAACCTAAAGAGACCGTTAAAGAACGACAAAAAAGACAACCGAAAAAAAAAAAGTTTTCATACCCTTCCTTGTTCTCCCTCTCTTTCGGAAACCTCCAACGCTCGCTCGGCGCTTTCTAGTAGCAGACGAATCATTTCCTCTTAACCATCATCATCATCATCATCACTAGTCCGCAATACATCATCGGTATTTTCATCTCACCCGATACAATACAACAACACCCTAGCCATGACTAAACACACTTGCAAGAAACTCGTTCCATTGAGTAAAGAGGAATATTGGAAACTCGTATTCACGGATGAATTTGACAATTTTACTGCTCCATATTTAAAGTTTAAGAAGGTTGAACCTGAAACATTACCTAGCGATAATCCAAAGATCATAAAGAGAAAAGTCAAAGTATATCCCGACTATGAAATTCCTAGTGCTTTGTTGTGGTATTTGGGTCAATCAGAATTCCACTATGAAGACCATCAAGAAAAGGATTTAGAAAATCATACGTTAAAGAGCGTTACTATTCCACCAGTCCACGGGGACTATTTATCCATCTCTTCCCTCCAATATATTGAAGCAGTTGATGAACATAGCTGTTATCATGTTTTGGAAACTGAAATTGTTTGCTCTGCTTGGGGAATTGGATCTCTTGTTGAGAGCGCTATTTGGTAAGTATTCGTATGAGACTCCTATTGTTTCATATTAACATGTATGAATGAATTCAATGTTCGGAATGATATTTGATGATGATGATGAACGTCAATGAACATTGTCTCATATCCTATCGAATCACAATATGAATTATTGTGATATCATAGCTCCGGAGTTGACGAAGGATACAACTTGTTACCAAAAGCTGTTGAAGCTTTCATTGCCTCAAAGAAATCCTCCCCAATCGTGGTTGGTTCAAACGTTGACAACGCTGCTAGCGTCTCTACCATTTAAACAATTTTGAATAATAAATAGCGAAGTCTTGCATCTTCAAAAGCTTGTTTATTTGGAGTTAGAACTATGAAATTGTGGAGAATTTTCAAAGATCAACCTTATTAATGATTGACTCATTGCTTCCTCTCGACAAATTTTTGATGATGTTTGACTATTCCTGCCAAAGTTTGCATGACTACCTTATCAGCAAAAGTTTCTGAGAAACTGAGTGCACCAGGAAGCCACCAAGAAAATTGTTCAAAAAACGAACAATGTCCTCCATGTTGAGTTTCAATGACATACAAATTTTCAGCTCCCTTCGCGTGCACAATGGAACTCAATTTAGCTGAATTGTAAGCAATGATTTGATCATCCTTGGAAAGCATGATAAACACTGGAGCATGATAGGTTTTTTCAGTTTCACCGCCTTTTGAAGAAGAATCGTAAGCTCCTTCTTTCTCTTCCTCATAATAAACATTTTCTCCCAATTCATTCTGAGTTGTTTTCACACGATGCAACATCTTCTCTCCTGAAATTCTTTGTAAATGTTTCATAAAGGTGGATCTCTTATTGTAAAAGTCCAAAGTGACATCTCTCAAACCGTGTAGTGGTTTTGTCAGTTTTGTATCAATTTCATCAATGGTTTTACACTTGTCCAAACTTTGTAAATCCTGTGCAGGAATGGCTCCTTCCAACAATTCTCGATTCTTCTTGAACACTTCCAAAATAAAAGTCACCAAAAATTTGTTATAGGCCTTATTTCGTTCCAATGTTTTCAATGTCTCAACCATGTCAAACGGTTGTGAAATTGTGATGGCTCCAATGACTCGAGTATTCTTTTTCACTTTCTTGGATCCCAATTGTTTGGTAATACCAACTCCACCTGCACTGTATCCAACTAGTAGAATGTTCGAATTTGGAAATTCTTGAGAAACAATGTCAATGACTCGTTCGACTGTTTTTTTGTGTGAATTTAAAAAGAATTTTGCTTTTCTCAATTTGGAATTTTGAAGGGAATGACAACCAGGTCGATTATAGACCACAATGTGATAAGGGCAAGACGATGAGTAATTTTTCTGAATGGTTCTTATTAAGGATTGAACATAATAGGATTCAGAACTTCCAGTAATTCCAGGAAATATTAAAATCACAGGTTTAGCAGAATGATGAGAGACTGACTGTGGTGAATGATCCCTCAAAAAATCCAAACAAATGTCCTCCAAGGTATCATCGAAATCTGTGAAAAATTTTGTTTCAAAATGTAATGGTGAAAAATTTGGAAATAATAAATTACGAAGTGGAAGAAATAGATTAGGTATGACATCATGGAGAAGAGAAAAATTGCCAATCAGAAGAGGATAACGATACTATATAAAATTTTGAAGAGTTGTGAAAATAATTGAAAATATTAAAATGTGTGAACAGATTTGTTCTTCACAAATGACCAAAAATTTACCTTATAGGCAAGGTGAGGCACTCGATAGTCTCCCACTTGTGTCGTGTTGTGTTTCGGATCGGAAGACAGGATCGGAATTTCTACAAGCAATTCCTTGCATGACTCGGATTGGTCATTGTAACGCAGACGTGCTTGTTCGTAATTGAAAAGATAGTGCCAAATGAGAACACTCGCCACCGTGGTCACTCCAGCAATGCAAAGGGTCAACATGTGTTTGATCGGAAGATTTGAAGGGACTTTGCGATGACAGCGATTCAATATTGAAGGTTTTGTTTTTTGATGTCAAGTGGGAGGACTTCATGAACATTTTCAGACTTGACAAATTTTCCGAAGTTTGAAGAAACAAATATGCGACATTAAGGTCTTGCAATGGTGCGAAAGGCGCGGTGGTAAACGTGTATGAAAATAAGGATATTATTCATAAAAAGAAGAGAGTCTACGTAGATCCTCCAAAAGTTAATTTTCTGGGAATGGTCGTGTTTATTTACACTGATGAATACAGTTGTTGAGTTGATTGGAAATGCTTCTTAAATACCTACATTATTGGAACAAACCATTAAGAGAGTCCAAAAAGTCAAGGTTGTTTTGCTGTGCCGAGGTATTGGCAAGATTGATATGATCTGCCATGACTCCAAATGCATCAAATGGTGGTAAGAACATGTCCTCTGTTGGTTGATGGGGATGTTGTGGTTGATTAGGTTGTTGTTCATTATTGAGTATCTGCGAAATGTTTTGGTCGACAGTATTTCCTAGAGCATCTTGACTGAACAGGTAAGGAGTATAAAAGTTTGGATTGGAATTGATCATGGAGAATATGTCTGTTGCTTCAAAGGTTTGAGGTTGACCATTATTAAATGAGTTGTGACGTTGAAGTCTAAACAGTTCAACCTGCTCCAAAATCAATTCAATGTCACGAATGAGTTGTTGGAAGCGAGTCTTAACCACTTCATACTTGGTACCAAGCAACTTGAGGGCTTTCAAGTCGTCGCTAAGAGATCGCACCAACATATCATCCTGGAAAGCAGAAAGATCCTTCACCATCAAGTTATAGTGCACGCGAGCAGCAACGGCAATAGACCTCACAACAATAACAGGAGCCAATTCAAATGTTGGAATTCTCGTCAGAGAAGTAATTCTATCGGCTGCCTCTTTAACATGTATCGAATCTTTCATTCCGTGTTTTTCCAAAACCTTGATTCTCATCGTGTCCAAATACATGAGGTAGACAATTTTGCTGAGATCCTTCTTCGACGAGCACAAGGTGTCGGTGCATGACGTGCTCAAAGAGTTGGTTAATAGATCCAATTTTCTCATCTTCTCTGAAAGTTCCTCTTCACAAATTAAAAATCTATTCTCTGATGCCTCAATATTCAGCTCTGGATGCTTGGTAATGATGAGTGAGAGAAGTCTATTAAGAAGGAAACAAACTTGAGACTTATCCTCTTCCATTGCCAAATGGATGACCGTTGTTAAGCTCTTTAAGAATGCTGCATCAGATTCGCTTGTGTTGTGTTTTTGCTGTTCAAGATAGAAGAGAACTGAGTTGAGATAGAATTTAGCTCCCAAGAAATCTCCCTCTCCAACCAAGTAACTCGACAAGTAGGCGTACGAACAAACAACATTAAAGTCTGTAATGTTGTCAAACACTGTAGATACGGTCTGTCTTGATCGTTGATAGAGTTGTTTCGAGAGGTCATGTTGGCCAATTCTTTGGAAGCAAACAGATTGCAATGCATACAGAAGAGCCAAGTCTGGAACATCAATTTCGTTCATAAGCTTCTTCTTCTTGACAGCACCAGTTACAATGTTGTTACCAGAGAGAGAGTGATTCATGAGTTTGTCCATCTTTGTCTTTTGTGCAGCTGGAAGGCAGTCCCCAACAATTTCCTTGTAAACATCAAAGCAAAGCTTCTTAATGTATTCTTCGGACAGTCTCGTCGAGGAATGATCAATGTGGCTATTCGTTGTTGGTACAAGAGAAGAAGCATGAGTGTCACCGCTCTGAGGTGAAATATTGTTTGAAGCTCCGGGAGTAACAAAGTCAGAATCGAATTGATCATCATGTTGAAACTCTGATTGTTTTCTCTTTCTTTGATGTGAGTGAGAATGGGATTGATCATCTTCACCAATGTCGTCTTCGTGATCATGACCCATTTCAGGGAGTGCAAGTGGATTCTCGTTCTCGCCCTTCTTTGGTTGTGGTCCTCTCTTCTTTGGAGACCTATACGAGCATTCTTTTCCAAGTCGCTTGCAATTGCTACAGTTTGGTAAACGTTTATCACACTTTCTGTGTCCTTTTCGGCACTGTTCATGGAAATCGTGTAGAACACGACGAGAAAGATGATGTAATAAGAGCAATACGGTTGGGATAACAGTATAATTCATAATTGTTGATGTTGTTGTAATAACTGTTCCGTCAGAGATAACAACTTACCTGCACACAAGCAATGCTCGAAAATTGTTCGATGGGTTGTTCACGAAGGCTTGAGCCAGTACCTGATACGTGAAGATCTTCGTGTATGACGCTCATTGTTGTTCTTTGTTGGTGGTTGGTTTGGAAGAGGTTGACGGATAATGATGATGATGGCGGTAGTAAAAGTTAGGATGTATCGATCTAACGTTGTTTGATTAAAGACAAATACGGGATGTTGTTGCTGTTAAATCACAATAAATAATTAAATATTCAGAATAATAATTTGAATATTCAAGGCTTGCAGATCAATGTTGAGCCGCACTAATGATGATGATGACAATCAAGTACCGAAGAATAGTACAAATTCCTCACTAGTCTCTGAAAGTACGCACTGTTCTTCAATCCGATGATGTTGTTGATGCAATGTTGATACTAGTTCGCACACAAGGATGGTTCCAATTAGCGTCTAGAAAGAGTGCGGACTCAATTTCTTTCGTAAATTTAGATGATGAAAATCTTCGTCTTTTTGAGTTTCCTCAGAGAGAGCGTTGTTATTGGTGTTCAGTTATTTGATTGATCGTAGAGGAGGCAGATGCAAGAAAAGGAAGCAGTTGATAATTTTTTGCAAGGTGGTATTCTCAGCAGCAGCGGGGATTAAATGATGAAAACTGCGTCCGCTTTTTTTTATTGAGGGCTGGTTCGCTTGGAGATTGGATCTCTTGGAGATTGGATTGCGTTATGGAAGTGGGTGACCGTAGGTTAGGTTGGTTGAGGTGCTCCTGACAGGAGTCACTGGATACTGTGCAGATTGCGCGAGAGATTGTCCAGTAAGTATTGTGAAAAGTATGTGAGAGAGAACTATCGAAGAGTTGTTTATCCTGTGCCGTGGATAAAAACCCAAGAAGGAAACCGATGAGAGAGGCAAGTTTTGTATTGCCAAAAACGATCAAAAATAATAATGCATCCTTGTCATCTCAAATAATATTGCAACTGTTTTGTTCTTTCAGTGGAGAGGGGAGAGTGGGTGAGCCTCAGTGGTAAACACATACTTGTCCAGCGGAATTTTGTGGTCCGTAAACAGTAAATACAAATACTAAGGAGGTTGTTCGTATTATCACGAAAATGGGAGTGATGACACAATGCGTGCGGTCACAGGTGAGTGTTGTTTTTGAAAGTGGCATTCAATCAACTTACTTTAAGTGTTTCCGACATGAAAAACGATTCCATGGCATTGTCTTGTACACCTCCAACTACAAGAACATTTTTCAATCCAGCATATGCAATTGGTGTCTGTTGTGTATACACACAAATGATTGAACGATTATTGATTGTTGGATCAGTAAGGCGAATAAGATGTTAAGGGTAAATATTCATAAAATAACAAAATGTTTCATCAAGAAATAATTGATGGACACATGAATGTGATAATCACCATTCAAGGAGTCATGATTTCAGAAAATGTGAATGGAATATAGTTCATTTCAGTGAATTCACTTCTACATTCAACACATAAATTTCACATACCTTGCAATGCTTTTCAATGGATTTGAAAATGTTCCATCCCCATTCCTTGTACATTGGATCTTTTGTAATTCTGTAGAGAATAAATATTGATTCGACAGCTTCTGGTCTCAAAATGTAAAATGGAGCTTGAACATTGAAATCATGAGTAGTATTTGAGAAATAAACGATTTCACATCCAATACCGGTAGGTTGTCTGCTATAAATTTCGTAGCAAGTGCGAGTCAATTCTTTAGCAAGCTCCAAGTCCTCATTCAATTCTTCTTGACTAACATTTGCTCCACGATTGACAGATCCAAGAGCCAACATTCCAGGCTGATTGGAAAATTAATTTTCTTTTCAAATGATTCATGCATTGGGTTACTTACCACAAAGCAAACCAAGTGATCGAATTTTGGATCCAATTGGCCATTCTTTAGCTCTCCAACATAGACAAGATTGCTTGGAGACGATCTGGCAATGAGATGCTTTTTCATTCCTTTCACAAATTCTCGATACATTCTATGGAATTGCTCCTCTCCTGTGAGCAGCCATTGTTTAAGTAAATATTCAAAGAATGAGTCACCGAGGGCTCCCAAAGTAATGTGGTCTCCCATCAACAAGCCACGATCGGTGGTCACATAGGCAGGGTAAAGACCTTTTCATGATTATACAAGAATTATTAGAATTCCAATGAATAATATTGAAGTAAACTGTCATACTCACCCTCTCTTGCTTTTGGTTGTTTATCCAATGCATCCATAATTTCTTGAGAAATTTGCCAAAATCTCTTATCTCCACTATGGTGGCTCAAATACTTAAATTCTAATTGAATCGATCCAACCTCACTAAGAATGGAGCTTGTTCGATGCCATTCTGCATTCTTAAAGGCTCCTGTGTATAGATTGACTTCGGTGTGAGGAAACTTGCTATCTGCATGAAAGGCAGGTAATAACTTTTCTCCGAGTTCGCGAGCCTTAATTAAATAGGCGCTATCTTGAGTGAGATCGAAAGCACTTAAAAAACCCTGTGACGCATTCAATGTTCAAAAGATAGTAAAGAAAATAAAAAAGTGGAATCCCATACTCGAACTGATTACAATTTGTCAATCATCTATACTTACACCAATATAACGAATGGTGGTTTCAAAAACAGATACCCATTGATCCTTATTGAAATCCAAAGACAAGACATGTTCTCTAGCTTTGGCAAGCTCCTCATGAAGGTTCATTATAATCATAGTATCAAGAGAATCGACAATAGTTGCAGCCATATTTCCAAAATTGTCTCTTGACTGTGAAATGGTGATAGTTGCCGATCGTTATTCATGCAATTCCAATTTATATAAAATATTTCGAATAAATAATATATATAATAATGCAATTTCAACACAACATACATCGTTAGTGAGAGGTCGAACTTCATCATGTCCCCATGCATACTTTTCGTAGCCCCTCCAAGCATGAAGAAACGCATTCTTGACAGCATTTCTTCTAAATTCATCCGTACTCTCATCCATCGGTGTGACGTCAACTTTGTTCGCATCGTGACGACTCCGACTGTCATCTAAAATATCAATGTTAGAGTTTGTATCTGGGTGGGGTTTTTTGTCTTGTAATTCCGTTCCATCACATGTTGAAGAAATTTTATCATTGTTAGAAGATGCCGTAGAAGAAGTCAACTGATCGACTCTCTCCATGGGCGCTGTATTATCATCCGATGTATGATGTCTTGTCAAATGAGAATTTAATAGAGTGGCTTGTCTCCTCATTTCACTCCTTCTCGAAAGATACTTTACAATTCCATAGATACAAACACTCAACACCAATACAAAGAAAATAAGTCTCACTACAATTGTAGTGAACGTGGAGGAGTTTCTCATCGGTGAAGGATTCTTCTTTTTCGAATCACCGAGTTGCTTATGATTTGTGCTTCTTTTGCCATCGGCATCATCATGATTGAATCCTTGGCTATTGTGCTCGGAATTGTTATTCAGAAAATGAGACGAAGAAGAATCATCATCACCCACTGGAACGATTCTAGATACAAAAATTGGTCTTTTTCGGAGAGTGGAAGAGGAGGAAGATGATGACGATGTCGTCGTTGTCGACAGGTCGACGTGGCTCATTTTTGTTTTTCCGAGTCTTGAAACCTATCATCGATTACAAAATTCACTCCGAGCACGAAAATCCATTTTTCACCTCGAGTTCGAGTTCTGGCCAATTTTCACAAAAAACAAAATGTCCTCAACACAACCTCCTCGCCTTCTTCCATCATTGCCCTTCTCCATCAAGTTTGAAATCTCCAAGGTCTTGCAGGGTGTGAGTCGTCTAGAGAGAGTGAATGAACAAGCTTTGGTGAAAATGTCCAATTATTTGCACACCACCTTGTTGTATTGGTTGATTCATGGATGTGGAAAATATGTATTTCAATTTAAACAACAACAACAACATCGAGAGGAGTCTACCACAGATCAAGAAAGTGTCTCTGTTGTGAATGTTAAAACACTCATTGAAGACTACTTGCGAGATTTAAAACAAGAACAAATCGATTCCAAGAAGGGAAATTTTCATGAAGATTTGGAAGAAGGCAAGGAAACTCCAACACAGAAGGAGAGTGAACCTATTGTTGTGTTTGCCTCTCTGAACGATTTCATCCATCAACTCACCTTGCAATGCATTACTCCAGATTTGAAACTGCATGCCCAATCCGAAGCACTCAAAGCAACTTGCAAGATGAAAAGCTTGTTATTGGAATCATCCAATGATGAAGCTCTCAGCTCGATTCACAAGACCCTTCATTTGAGCTTTGCAGCAAAGAACGTGCAATCCTTTCTGGATTCATACTTTGTTTTCAATGATCAGGCTTTTAAAGAGAAGGTCGAAGTGTTGGAAGTTCATGCTGCATTGACGGCCATGTTGGAGTATTTGAGTGCAGAGATTATGGAATTGTCTTCCTCTCATGCTCAGAGTTCAGTGGTTACTGAAGAATTGAGTGTGGAGCATTTGCAGAAAGGTGTCCTTAGTGATCCTGCCTTGTTGGATATGCCATACTCCATCTTGTTGCTCTAATTTTCTCCTTACTTATTGCGAGATGGCCATAACGAACAATTTTATTATTGATGGAATTGGCAATCTTTGGTTCATCGTAAATTTCCAATAAAAAAATAACGCGTACATTTGTTCAGACATTTTCAAGCTCCGATCCGGGTTCGATAACGATGGGATTCAATGTTACTTCACTGCTCGTGGATTCATTTGTAGATCAGCTTCGGAAGGGATACGAAAAAACGTATGGACATTCAAATGAACACTATAAGGAAATTATCTGTTGGGCAGCTGGAATGGCTTTGGACATCATTGCCAATTCAGATGCGTTGTATCATAATGTGAGTAGAATTGTGCTGATCATTGAAGATACAATGAGTCATTTGATTTCAATGATGGAATGGTGCGCATGAATTGGCTCACTTCAACTCGAATACAACACGACAAACGAATTGATGATTTCTGACTATGATGACGGTTATTATGAACATGAAACTGCATCATTAGGTTGGTAGGTAACATTCAATCATGAACTGCTTGTGAGCAAACATATGCCGTCTGAATTTGTTCATGCAATTTGATAATTATGGTAACAGAACATACCATTCATGTCACATTGGTTGGACAAGGTGAGTTTCGAAATCAAGATATTCTTCGAGTTTATTCAAATCTACATTAGAGATTTTAAGAGGAAAACATATTCGTGAAGGAGGTGTTACTAGCGAGGATTGGCTCCATTGTATTATTTCCTTGTTGTGTCATGATATTGGTAAGTACTATAATATTGAATATTTGTTTTGACTTTGCGGAAAAATAATCCCAACATTGCATTTTACACAGGATATGTTAAGGGTGTTTGTAGACGTGATGACAGAGAGACTGGAGTCTATGCTACTGGTCGTGGTGACGAGGTTGTGGTAAGTTGATCTTCAATACTGAGTGATTTATATATAATGACATATCTTGTTGTTGTGAAAATCTGCGTTTCAGCATATCGATGAAAATGCAACCGATGCAAGTTTAACACCTTATCATGTCGATCGTGGAAAATTATTTATTGCAGAACGCTTTAGCAATCATAGCATTATCAATGTTGAGAAAATTCAGAAGAACATTGAATTGACTCGTTTTCCTGTCCCACAGTAAGTTTGTAATTATTTTAAAACATGGACGTCGATGGCTAATATACGTGACTCTTCAGTGGAGAGGATCACAAGGATACTAAGGGCTATCCAGTAAGTTTGATATGATTCATATTAATATTCACAAATAATGATGTAGGGAATTGTAAGAGCTGCTGGTAAGTTTTTGACACGATAATAGAAAAAATGTTTATTCATGATCATTCATGTGTCGACAGATTTAACAGGACAAATGTGTGATCCTCGTTACTTGCAAAAGATCGCAGCGCTTTATTACGAATTTGTTGAAACAGGGACAGCACAGAAACTTGGATATTCAAGCCCAGGTGCTCTTAAAAAGAACTATCCCAAGTTTTATTGGAAGTCTGTATATCCATATATTAAGCATAGTCTTGCGTATTTGAACACTACACAAGAAGGCAAGAGTTATGTTTCAGGTCTCTATTCCAATGTATTCTCTTTAGAGCACATTGTTGAGCCAACGCCTGAAGAAGATGATTCCGCTGCACTTGAGGAATGAGTTGCTTGCATAATTACTCCACTGACTTGATTGAGAGATTGTATAAATTATTGAGCCTATAAAGAAATTATTTGTGAATCCATCAATGTCTGCATGTTTTTCTTAGCCAAATGGCTGACGTATCTATTTTGTGGATATGTTCAAACAACTGTCACAAGTCATTTCAAAAACCCAAATTCCCAATTCTGGTTTATGTCGGTTGTTATACAGTCAGAAACAAACCTCTCGAAAACCAAATGCAAATGCCTAAACAACATTTTAAGCAATTAACGCCTGAGGACAAGCCATCACTCAATTTCCAAAAAACTCCACTCAAACAAGTTTCGCATCCTCTTTTATTCCGCATGAGAAGAATCACTCAACAATCTCAAAAAAAAGAAACGAACAAAGGGCCAGCGAGAACACAACAAGATTCTCTCTTTCGGTTTCATTTTGGTGTTTTTCCGAATCACTCTAAAAATATTCTTCCTTTGTTCAACGAGCCAGCACAACACGTGGATTGACTCATCATTATCCATTGAATTCCGGAACAGTGAGACTAAACTTGGATTCATAATCAATTAAAAGAACCTCAACAACAAGAGCAATACAACAACAACGACAATTACTATAGTAATACGACGAACAAAACCAATATTCAGATTTTTGTGAGTCAACCACCACCACCAACAACAACAACCATCCATTCAGCCTATTTCAACCACCACCAAGACACATCCGTTGATTGTTCAGTTATATATTCAGAACAGAACAACAACCGCACAATCTTCATCTCATCCCAACAACAACCGTTTTTGCAAAACACCTCGTTTTCAACACGAATACCAACTCAGTATCGGATATATATACTCTCCAACTACACGAATACCATCACAATTCGAACAAGAACAATCAACCGTCGTTGCAAAAGCTTTTTTCCATCATTGACCCTCACGAGTACAAAAAAAGACCTAATATCTACAACCTCCAAAACCTCCACAACCATCACCATCACCACCGCATTTATAATAACTCACACATTCTTCCATCATCCTGAGAGAACAAATCGCACCGATATCAACACAACCAACACAACATCCACAAAAAATGAGACAACAAATCATTGAGGGAGAAACGTTTGAAATTCCGGAACACTACAAATTACTGCAAATTATTGGACGAGGATCGTATGGCGTTGTAGCGAGTGCCATTGATACCAGAAATAATGAGCGAGTTGCCATAAAGAAGATTTCAAATGTGTTTCAAAAGAATAAGGATTATCAGAAACGTATTGTACGTGAACTGAAAATACTCAAACATTATAGCAGTATACAAGGACATGAGAATATCATTCAATTGAAAGATTTAGTAGTACCAAGATCTGAAAATGAGTTGAGAGATTTGTACATTATCACTGAACTCATGGATTGTACAGTGAGAGATGTTCTCAAATCAAATCAAAATTTTACTGACATTAACACCAAATACTTTATGTATCACATGTTGAAAGGACTTGCTTTCATTCACAGCTCAGGAATTGCTCACCGAGACATCAAACCACAAAATATTTTGGTCAATGAAAATTTTAGACTTGCCTATTGCGATTTTGGATTGAGTCGAGGAGTAGATATTGACTCGAAAATATCGACCAATGACATTGCCTCGCTATGGTACCGATCGCCTGAAGTCATCTTGGGGTATGAATATGGAATGAAGCCAATGGATATTTGGTCACTGGGCTGTATTTTGGGAGAAATGTTAACGTCTGGTAAAGTTTTATTCCAGGGAAGCTCCGCTCTTGATGTGCTCGATAAACAATTGGAATTGCTGGGAACTCCTGACGAGGATTCAATCAAGGGCTCATTCAAAGCTGTCAAGTACTTGAAGTCGCTGCCACGCAAACCAAGACCATCATGGCAAACGATATTCCCAAATGCATCAAGTGAAGCACTCGACCTACTCTCCAAGATGTTGGAATGGGATCCTGACAAGAGAATCACAGCCGAACAAGCTCTTCATCATCCCTATTTATCTTTCATCAGAGAACAATATGTGAACGACGAAGAAATTGTTTGCCAATCAAAATTTGATTACCGTTTTGACGAGTCAATGAAAACAGAATCTGTTCGAAAGTTTTTATACGAAGAATTGAAACAATTTGTTCAACAATACAGCCACAACACGTCATCCTTTAGAAAGGCTGATGCCACCTCTGACAATGACACGGTAAAGTCTCCTCTCACAACCACAAGGACTATTGGATGTACTAATTAAATTGGATGCCAAATTTTGCAGAACAATCTTGGCACTCTCGTTTTGAATTCAAAAGGACTATGCAAGTGAGGAATGAACGTAATGAGCACGAAGAGAAGGACCGAACATTCGCATGGGTCGTGAATGCAAGATTCACACAAGCGACAAGAATTTTGTGATAGATCACACGGTACGAAATTGTCCTTCAATAAACTAAGTGCCTTCTAGGACTTGCTAAGGTAAATTAACGCAATAAATTTATAATTTAGCATGACACAGCCTGAGAGGTAATTTGTCAAGTGCCAGGGACTGTAGTCTCCAGTGGAACAGTTTCACTCTTGCTCATATGCGACGTCATTCTCTTTCTTCTCAGAGCCAATGGCCCAGCCTATTCTTGGTTTCATTCCTTTCAACTGTTCATCATAATCATAGCCCAAGAATCCAGCCATGTAGTGCAAAGAATCGACTCCCTGCACTGGGGAATTCAACAGACGGACTTGAACTGTCGATAGACCGGATGGATACTGATCTGCCGTGGTTCCCCATCCATTCACTTTAACGTTGTCCAAAAAGTTGTTCGAATTATCGTCTTTCAACGCGGACAAATCTCGAGAAATTTCATTTTGTTGATTGTAAGGGAAAAAGTAGGAAATCCAACCTGTCACACGCCACGAGCCACTCTTCATACTACACAATGCAATTCGATTCCAGAAATTTCTCAATGATTCAGGAAGACTGGAGGACGATCCATTCAATTTGGCCGTCTCTATGAATTTATCCAAAATTGGAATCAATGCTTTGGACCAAAATTGGAATCCATATTGTTCCAATTGAAGTGTTCTCTCCTTAATACTCTCCCAATCATGAACAGTTCCCAACAAGGTAATACTCGGTAGACCACAACAAAATACATTCCAATAGGAAAAGTAATTTTTCATGGCACTCATGAACACAATTTGTGAAGCACTTTTCTCAATATGTGTTGAGGTGGAGAAATTACATTCCAACAAATGGGAAGAGGTGTTGTTATTATCACAACCTCCATTTCCTGTGCGAAGATGGGATTGCACTTGAGAAGTAATTTCTTGGAAGACACGAGACCAATCGACATGTTTCAATGCAAGAGTATGTTCTGATGAAGAATCTTGTTGTTGAGAAGGATGAATAAATTTATCATCCATCGAGACTACAATTTTGATTTTTGAACTCGACCATGATGAGCCTTGTTCTTCTTTCAATTCAGACTCTGATTCATCGGAAATGAATTGTGATCTTAACTGATCGGAATGAATCTCCACATGTTTGGCAAAACCCTGAGCGATCAAGAGCCAAATATCATCCGGAGAGAGAATCAATGGATAGTGTTTGCTGTACGCTTCCGAACAACACATGATCAATGGATGAGGAGTGAATTTCGTGCCGTTGAGAAGAGGTCCATTACTCTCACAAGCATAGACGTGATACTTTCGGGTCATGAAATTGTAATAATCATTTGCGGGATCATTGAAATAGTTGGAGAGAGGAGGGTTGGAGAGAGGGGTGTGAGTAAAGGAATCCGTTGATCCTAAAGTGAGGTTGGGAACAATGGTGTGTGCAGTGCTAGTCGTGCTGGAAGTGGTGGACAACATTTTTTCATTGGAAATAAAAATTTCTTTGGAAACAAAGAACTCGTTCATGACGTCATGATGATGGGCGTTCATTTCAAGATTTACCGAAATCCTTCCATCGATCGATCTCAACTGTTAACAGTGAACACCACAACCGAATGAATCGATCTCAACAGTGGTCCTTCCAAAGATTACAAAAGTATTGGAATAAAATTTATTGATCGAGATTTCATGTTCACACAAACGTTTCAGCATTAGAACCACCATCATGAACCGCTGTTCACACATTCCTGTCTTGAGTGATCACTCATAATGGTCATAATAATTCTCAATGGTAAGGAACTGCATAAGGACTCGAGTAATAATAATTGTTTCCATAATAAGGATAATAAGGCATACCCCCTCCTCCGTAATAACCTCCCCCATAAGTGGGATATCCATACGTATTATAATAAGCTCCCATAGGTGCATAGGGACTTCCTCCATACACTCGTTGTGAGGTTCCATACGGACCATACGCATTCGAATAAGCCCTGAAAGGGACAAACATTAATGCTTGAATTTTATCCTTATAGAGTAATGTATCAGAGTTGTATCGATCGAGAGTGGCTCCTGCTGCCATTTGACCAGCTTGCACTCCACCACCAGCTGCACCTGCAGTTGCTGCTACCGTTGCTGCTGCTTGAGCATGAACGAATACATGGGTGGCGAGAAACGAAGAGAATAAAAGTGTAGTGACAACGGTGGTTGAGAGCACGATTTGGAGAAGAAGGGATGGACGCATTGTTTTTTAAAGTGTTGGGTGATTGTGTTGCTGAGAAGAAGCATTCTCTCCAATTTTGGGAATCATCCAGAAAATGAATAAAGAAATGGGAAAAGCAAGGTGAGTGACATGAATTTGACAATTATGCAAATTTGGAACATTTCATTTGTTGTTCGTTGTTTCACGCAATGCATCGTCGCTCAATTACTTGATCGTTTCTGGATTCCAACAAATTCGAACTTCGTTTTCCACGAGATGATCCAATCGTTTTAAACGACTTTCATCCTCAATGATGTTAGAGGCCCAATCAGTCACAGCTTTAAAATTCTCTTCCGAGTGATTTCGTTTGACGCTCCGTGGAAGTATGACATGTCCTCTCTGTAGGATCCATTGGAGACATTCTCTCGATGTCACTTGTCCATATTTTCCTTGCATTAGCACCCCATGAGCAAGCGGAGAATAAGCCTGAATAACAATAGAATGTTGCTTGCATAATTCTTCGAGTTGGGCATGGGTTTTGTACAAGAGAGGATGGTATTCAATTTGATTGACGTGGGGAATAATTCCATCTTCTCTTGATTTGATATCTTCCAAAAGTTCAAGCATGTGTTGACATGTAAAATTACTCACTCCAATTGATCGTGTTTTACCTTCACGATAAAGCTGTTCTAAAACACGCCAAGTGGCAATTCTGTAATTCATTGTCAATAATAATTTTCGAAAGTTCAATAATTACCTGTTGAGTCTGTTTTGATCGCTTGTGACAATAATTTTACTCGTTCCAGGCCAATGAATTAAATAACTGCAACAGGTGATATCACCCCATTCAATAAATCAATATGATTCGGTAATTATTGAATAGTTAATAATAAATATGAAAATTAAAAAATAATATTAATAAATAAATTAGTAATAAATAATAATAGTTAATAAATTGTGGTTAAAAAAATAATATTAATAAATAATATTAATTAATAATATCAATAAATAATTCATGAAAAGAAATCATTGAATTTTAAATGAGTATTTTCAGTTTCATAAAACCACACCAACCCTGACCTACCAATCTAAATAGCTTAACTGCAAATCTTCCAGAGATTCCATAAATGTCTCTCGAATGATCTCTTCACTGTGCACTTTCGTTGGAGGTAATTTTGATGTAATAAATAAATCCTCGCGAGTTAACGTGGGAATACGATCTTTACCCTCATGCGACTTTTCAAAAATAAAATCCTTTAACACTTTTCCAATTAATTTCTCATTACGGTAAATTCGAGCAGTATCAATATGTCTGTAACCAATTTCAATCGCATCTAGAATACATTCCTCGCATTGTGGAGATTGGTTTACTTCCCATGTTCCTAATCATAAAAATATGAGAATATATTTTCAAAGATGAAGGAATATCATATGGTATTCGATGATGATTCAGAAAAATCAAGAATTCATCATCGGATCATTACAATATCATATTGAGAAATAATATTCCATAACATTGAGCCTCTCTTAAATAATTGGCGTTATACCTACCCAATCCAATGATTGGCATCTTTACTCCATTATGTAATTCAACATTTGGAACCAACGATGAGGATGACGCAGCTGTGGGTGTTTGGTTGGACATTTTTTTTGCTGAAATTCCAATTCCCCATCGCCCTTTTCGATAGCAATGCGACAAACACTTGCAGAAATTGCCAATCGTTGGAATTTTTTTGTCCAATATGTAACTCAAAAACAAGGCATTTTTGCTTGAAACTGCAGGTTGGCATTTTATGTGTCCGAAATTGCTGTGCAGATTGGCGAGTCTTTTGAGTCTTCATTTAGCTGAGTTGGAATAAGGTGTATATGAAGGTCAATATATCCAGAGGGGCTTGATTTCATCGACATGAAAAAGCTTCATTCTTTGAAGATGTGGCCAATTCTTCGAGGTTTGTAAATTTTGTAGATCAATTCTGTTTGCCAACAACATTTGAAAGAACCCCAACAAGCCTTGAAAAACCTCAAAAAAAAAAAACTCTCCAGAATCTTCGCGAACAGAGGATGAAATTAGAAGAGCTAACAAACAAGAAGGATACCACATTGCTCCAAATCATGGTCAAGAAAATAATTCCTACTGGCCATTCATCAAATGAGTTTAGGCTATTATGCTTTGTTCTTTCCTCCTTGATAACCATACCACCAAAGCTCTCCCTTCATGAGGCAGTCCAAAATCGGGATTATTTAAGAAAGAAGTTCCCTGAATTCATGAAACTACTTACTGATTTGTGCACAACAGAAAGGACAGAACAAGTACTGGCTCGACTTTTATGTTATTGTGTTCTTACATTCCGAAATGTTGAGGGTGAGGCTTCGTTATGGGAACAAAAGGAAAAATTAATTGCTCTCTGTCGAAAGAGCATCGAGACAATGAAAGGAAGCACTCCGTTGTTCTTTTTCTTACTTCCTGAAACAGAAAGAACCAAGGTTGTCGAAGAGGTCTACTATGAAATGTTCTCTGGAACAGTTGAAGAAGTAGCCAATGTTGATACTCAGACTCCCAAACAAGGAAAATCTAGAAAGAAAAATACCAAGAAAAAGAAAACTGAAAAGAAATTGAACAGCTCTTCAAACAAGCCAGAGAAAGAGGTGTCTGTTAAGGAAAAGGAGCTTGTTAAGGATGAAATGGATGATAAAGATAGCAGCTCGCAAAAGAATAACGAATTGACAAAACCTAACAAGGAGAAACAAACAGGGTGTTGTGAAAAGATCGTCAATAGTTGTCAAGAAATCCCAAAAAAGGAAAGTAAGGACAAGAAAAGAGAAGAAAAGAAGAAGTTGCATCAAGTTCGTCCAATCAAAGTTATTTCGATGACTTAATCACGCAGACCATAAGCACCACTGGTGAACCTTCTATAGACAGTAGTAGCAAAACTGTAGTCAAGGATTGTCTTTCAGATTCCGATTCAGTTGAAAAAATGGCTTTCCATCAGCAAATACAAGTATTGTTGGATGAAGAAAGGAGCATGAGAGAGCGCTTCCAAAGATACATGGAGGAAAAAGAGAAGAGTATTGAGAATCTTATGGAAAATATGAAGTGGCAACAAAAACAAACGGAAGAGAAAATGTCTCAATACCTACGTGTGTTGAGGGAGGAAAATATGAAGTGGCAACAACAAACGGAACACAACTTGTTTCAAAACGTCCATGCGTTGATGAAGAAACAATCGGAAGAGCAATTGGACCACATCCGTGTGTTGAGAGAGGAAAATATGAAGTGGCAACAACAAACGGAACACAACTTGTTTCAAAACATCCGTGTGTTGATTGAGGAAGAACATAAAAGGACAGACCAACGAATGAACAAATTGGAGGAAAAGTTTGAACTCCTCCTCGACCAGCAGAAATTTTTACAGGAGTTCCTTATGCAAATGGTAAAGAAAGATTAGACTTGTGAAATGCTTTAAAGAAAAACGCAGCATGAGAATAAAACCCAAGATGTGCGCTGGTAAAATTGTTAATGTACAAAAGGGAATTTTGAGTGAGGACATGTCACACAAGTTACACTCAACTCCATCGTTCCACAATAATTATGAGGTTGAAAGTTGGGCATCATCGACCATCCACATACATGCTGGTGTTCCAAAGGATCATTTCAATGTTTGGAGAAGAGAATTCTCAAGATTACGCTCCACATGTTCCCTTGTTCCTTCCTTTGAGATGAATAAAGAAGAAAGAAATGGGAAAAGAAAAAGCATAGAGATGGGTGAGAGAATGTTGGTTTCATGTCCAGATTTGTATCTTCCACTTCCTCCTAAAAGCACAAGACTTTCTCATCATCAATTACGTTCGTTTCACAATTCAAAAGAAAAGCTTGAGTGGTAAAATAAAACTCGATGGCTTTTCAACGCAGGTCTTTGCGAAATTAAAATGTACCATGACCAACAAACTCTCAGGATTATGCTAGAGTTAAACCATTGTGTGTCACTCTTAATTGAAGCCCTCAATTCAATCTTTCGAGAGCTTTGTAAAAATTGTTCATAATATTAAAATGAAATGAATATTGAGTGAATATTTTTTTATATTGATAAAAAAATGAAGGATCATCAAGTGTCTGTTGTGGCTGATTTTTTAAAGAAGAAACAAAAGGAAAGAAACAACAAGCATCAATCGGTGATGGAAGAAGAACCACACCACGACAGGCGATCCTTCTCCTCTTACGATGGTGATGATGCTGCATTTGATATTGGATTAATTTTTTCAATACCTTTCTCTCAGAAGAGTTCCGAAGAAGAGGAAGATTCTAATCAGTCTTCCTCATCATCAATAATATTGGTTCATCATGTATCGCTAATTTCCACGTTGGAGGAAAAAGCCAAGAATGGAGGTTTTTCAAATCTTTCATCGGAATGGTTTCATCAACAAATTCAAATCGTGCAACAATCTCTGCTTTCGAGTGTGAATATTTCTGGAATGTATTTACGAGATTATTCCTATTCTGTAAAGGACAGACTTAATGATGTGATTGCTCTCTATATGAGATCTATTGAGTCACTACAACCCATTGATGCCACAAATCCTGTTTATTTTATTAATTTATTGAAAGAGGGACAAGACGTTTATCTTTTCGAGAAGGGAAAATTCAGGCAAGACATGAATGTTATTTTGAGAGAAACCTCAGAAGCAAGAAAACTCTCAGAATATTCATGTGTGTTACCTTATTACAAAAAGTTGAGAGCTTCAAAAAACATTGATGCATTATTAGATGAAATTGAAAATCAATTAGAAAATTCTCTTGAAAATGATTATATTTGGAAAATTAACAAAACAACCAAGAGAATTGAATGCTTCCTCAAAACGAGAATGGAGCCAAAATTACCAGAGATCAACCAAGAGGGTGATATGATTGAAATTGTCTTGTGTGGTACAATTAGTGGAATGGTGCTCACTTTAGATGACTTTTCATATAGTCATGAAGATCTTATCAAAGAAATCAAAAAAGATATAGTTCAAGGAATAACAACAAGAATTGCCTTTGATGATCAACTTTCCAAAGGAATTTCAAATAATTCTGTTATCAACAGAAATCTTTTAAAACGGTTTTATATCCATGACTCCGCCACAAATATTATTTATTGTGATTATAGTGAAGATGTTGACTCGATAGGCATCATTGAGGTTATTCCATCACTTATAGACCAGGTACACGCATATGTCGTGGATGTGGAGGGTAATACATTCTCAAAAAAGAAGCTATATGACGAATCTTCCAAAGGAAAGGTCACTGAAGCTAAGGAATCAAAGGAAGGAAAGACTACTTCAGAGACTTCTTCATCTACGAGTAGCAGCAGTGAAGGAATGTTTGCATGGTTTTTTGCTTTCATTGCATTCCTATTGAGCTTATTAGGAATCAAGAAGCAAGTACAATCATCCTCAAATTAATTTAAATCATTCCAAATACAGCACCATATGGTTGTGAAATTGATGTAGTTCTTTGTTTTCACTCCTCAGCCCTCAATGCTCGATCTATTATTTCGCATGCTTTTATGTAGGTTCTATCTTCATACGAACTCCATAACTCGTCTTTCAGAATAGAAAAATCTGCTTGTGACAGGTAGCCATTATTTTCATGCTCTACTCTAGGGGTGAAACCGATGGTAAACAAAACCAATAACATATTTTGATCTTTTTTCTTTTCTGAAGATTTGGTGGAGGGATTTTTGATTCTCTTTTTCAAATGATTCACTAACGAGGTGCACATGTCCATAAATTCTAAAGCAGGCAGGGTGAATTCTCTGAATTCGTGAATCAACTTCTTTAAATGATTGCTTGGATATGATTTACAACAATGCAAGATGCATTTCACAAGAAGTCGCCATGGAGAGTCCAATTCGAAATCTCGTTCCACACATTTCCATTCTGATTTCATAATGACCAACATTTGACTCGTGTTCAGTGACACTTTGATGGCAGGTTTTGAATTTTCCAAGCAAAATTGATTAAATACTTTCTCAGCTATGGTTGAAAGAGGATCCTGCTCAATAATTTCCAATGCGAGTGCTACAATCACGTGCTTCTCTTCTTCCTTAAATAAGCACATGAGAGCCTTCATATATTTGCTAATTTAGAAATCAATTAACGAACGTGTTAGTGAGAGAACTGATTTGTAAAGTGTCAACACTTACATTTTGGCATAAATATCATCTGGTGCATGTTCATAAAACCTTGCATAATATTCTCTCACGAGAGAAATTTTTGATTGTCTCAGTGCACACTCGCAAAGAAAGTCCAAAAAATCATGATTATGAATAAACCCAGGAAGGCGAAACAATAACTTTTCAAAAGTTTCCAATTCAATTCCCTTATACGATTCTGAGTGTCGTGTCGTCAAAATATCGTGATATCCTTGACAAAAGGATGAAATGACCCAACTCAGGGTCAGTTTGTTCAACAAGGCAAAACTCTTTTCTTCCTTAACAAATCGAAATAGAAAGAAGGCCACTTGCAACGAAGATGTTAAGTGAGCTTGATCCGAGAATATTTTCGTATTAGTAAATGCTCTTGCTCCTGATTTGCTCGTCAATGTTTTCTCCAACAGCGAGGTATGACCTCTCATAAAGGCATTGGCCATTCCCACTTTGGTGTGAGTGATAAGTAATTCTTCTCTCTCCATCCACATGGCTGGAAAGTATCCTGAAATCTTTTTGCTAAAGTATTGTCCATGAGTTGCAAAAAGCAACAATATAGAATTACAAATGGTCTCTGCTTTGCTATATTCTTTTTCTGCAAATAAATGTTTAAGGTAAAGATAGAGCCGCTCAATATAGGCGCTCACTCGTATGGCTTTTGAACTGTTTTCAGTGTGTCTGATTTTTGGAACTGTCCAATGAGGTTCCATCATTCTTTTCAGTCGTCTTCGATTAAAAACTAGAGTATGTATAAGGTCGTGAGGAGGATGACAGTGATGCTCACAGTCATTCTCTGAATGTTGATGGTGTTGTTGCTGATGTTGCTTCTGTCGTTTCTTACTCGTCGATGGAGTGGTAGTGGAATGGACAACACTCTCTTCGTGAAAATGTTTCAACAAGTGATCAAACATCAATAAAGATTGACCTTTCTTGTATTCCTCAAAACATTGTAGACATAGAGAAACCATTCGTTTTGGATACAAAAACATTGGTATAATTTCAAACACTTCACAATTCCAATCAATCCAAGGCAATTGATTCTGTTTTCCAGAAAAGCTTCCCCTCAAGTAAAAATTCTGTAATAATTGAGAATAGATGAAAATTTGTAATTTCTGGTCGCAAGGAACAAAATAGCTAATCGGAGAGGTGCTGTGTTTGAAAATTCGTTCATCTCTAAAATAGAATCTAAGAAAACATGATTTTTCAACTCCCGAACGTTTTACTCGGACACATTTTCGTTCAAGGTCGTCCAATTCTCCATGAGAAAATTCAGGAGGAATTGTTAAAGATGATGATGATGGATATGTGGGTGATGAAGATGAGAATTCCTTCTTGATATCATTTCCGAGGTTTAATATTGAATTGGATTTTACAAAAATTACATCATCACCATGTTCTTCATTAACACGTAAAAGACTTTCATTCATGAAATCTTGATGTTCATCCGATATGTGTTTGGATGCTGAATTCTGTTGAGAGTCCTTTTCCGAGCTCACCCGATTGACTTGAAACATTTTTTGCACACTTGAAAAGATTCCATCAAGTGTTTGAATTGCTCCTCAAGAATTTTGAAAATCTTTCTCTTCATCTTTCGGACAACAAGAGTTGATCAACAACACGTCATTAGTGAATAATAATTAATTAAATATATTTAAATTTATTAACAAAGAAGACTTGGCGAGCGGTTAACCGTCAAAAAGTGTTTTAGTTTACAATTCCAGAAATAATTGAAATTACAAAAAAAATGATTCACAACACTGGAGATGAAGATTTCATCATGAGTGATGGATGCCTCGATCGAATGACATTTAACGAAAATAGATATTCATCAACCATGAGTGATGATGTCATTCAAAATATATGTACTGACTCTTTTTCGAGTTCTCCCATCAAACGCAAGAGAGATCATCACCATGATGCTGATTATTTAATTCCGAATCATGATGAAAATTCCAGAAAAACCAAACATCAAGTGTGTCCAAATTATCCATCATCTCCAATATCGAGAGAAGAGTCGCAACAAAAGAGACAAATTGTTGAACTGATACTTTCTAAAAAAAGGTTTGATAGTAAGAGGAAACTGCCTCCTCAACACGAATTGTATCATACCTTGTTTCGAGATGTTCATTTGATTGGAGAGTTGGAAGTACAGAATCGAATGATTTGTAAATTGGACTTGTTACTTTTAAAATTAGATGAGAAAAATATTGGAACAATTATGGATGGACAACAATTAATGACGATCAAACAACTTGTGGATCATATTGCAACAATTACCTCAAATGTTTCATTGAAAGAAATTGCAGAAAAAGTTCTCGTCAAGCTTTCGAAATAGTTGTTTAAACCCGTGAGACAATACTTCGAAAAGAATCGTTCTTGCCGATGAATGAGTTTACCAATTCCAAATTTCAGAAATTTACTACTACGTGTCAGTGACTTGGACAATAGGAGAGGTTTGTGGAACTGATGAATTGCTACTCATGATATCAGTATCAAGTACAATTTGACCTAACTTTCCACTTCTGAACCAAAACAAGAGATGTGAAAGAGCCTTATTCCAATCAGGGTGTCCACCTGAAGAATACATTTTCCATTTTTCACACACTGCCAACAACAATTCCTCGACACTCTTTGTAGGGCCTGTCATGCCAAATATTTCCACATATTCGAAACAACCATTCCTATTCATCTGGTACAGTAAATAGTCTATCAATGGCATGAGATCTATGGCAGTACCTCCCGCATTGTTGTCACCACCAAACAAGTGATCTGGAATTGCATTTATCAGAGCTAGCTTGAAGCCTTGCTCGTTACTTTCGATATCCGGTTGAAATATTCCAGGAGTATCCAATAATAAGCAATTCTCTTTGGTTTTCATGGGGAAAAATCCCATTCCTCGAGTTACTCCTGGCAATGCCCCTTCCTTTGCCTTTTTTTTCTCAATTAGCTTGTTAATGATACTTGACTTGCCAACATTTGGAATTCCTGCAATTAAAAAAGTAAAAGGTATTGTTTTAAATTTCTTGGGAGCAATTTCTACATTCTTGTTATGCAAACATAAATCTACAATCTTTTTGACATTAATTCCTTGTTTTGCACTCGTGAACAATGTTCCTAACACTTGTGGACCTTCAATGACAGAACTATTTTCTTCAAAATAATTTTGAATTATCTCTTGTTCTCTTTTTGGAATTAAATCGCACTTGTTAAACAAAATTAACCTCTTTTTATGAGCAAATATTTCATTAATGGTCTTATTGTAGGATGATATCGGAACTCGTGCATCTCTCACTTCAATCACAAAATCAATAAATTTCAATTTCTCTTTAATTTGTTTTGTAGCCTTTGCCATATGTCCCGGAAACCAATTAATAATTTTTCGATCGGGAAAACGAGTAAATGAAAGCTCGGCTTTAAACATTGGAAATCGTGAAGACATTTTTTGCAATAATGAAATTTTTTATTTGCAAATCTCAAAAAATATTTAAAATCCGTTGTTGCTCCGATGTGAGCTTCTTTTCCCAAAAGGAATCCTTTTTATAATCGGTTGAAGAGATTGTTTGCTTTGTCAAGGATTAATCAATTCAATCTAGATTTTAGAAAATGAGGGGGAAAAGAGAAGGATCGGATCGTAAGAGTTTTTGCGATTTATTCTTTGTGGAGAGATTGAATGATTTGGAAGTGAAAGTGTTCGGATTAGCATCTAATATGGAAAAATCTGATAGCAGTAACGAGCTGGATTTTCGAATGGAACAAAATATTGAACATACATTGATGGATATGATCTATTTTTCAAATGATGTGATCCATAATTCATCACAAATGATGCTTAATTATAATTTAAAATTGGAATTTACGAGAATGGATAGAAACAAATTGATCAAGAGATTAATTATGTGCTTGAAATTTTTCGTTTCCTTCAAAAAGTTTCAATTAAGACGGTTGGAAATTATCACTTGCCTTGTTCAATGCATTTGCAATTTATTTGATATTTATAACAAGCTCTCTATGGCGAATAATGTACCCCTCGTGCAAGACAAGGTTGAAATGAATTCTGAAATACCTGTTCTAGTTGAAATTTTGCAATTGCTACGATATTTACTGACTCGAAATTTAATTTACAGACAAGATGTCACGAAATGTTTTTTGACCTGTATTACTTTTTGTGTGCAATCCATGGAAGACTACAAGAATTTATGTGATGCTGAATACCAATCAAAAGCAAACTCAATATTAACGCTGGTTGGAATAATATTGATAGAAGATACGATTGCTAAAACACTTATTGCGCAAGAACATATGCCAAGAGATCTGGTAATCCAATCCGCGGATTGTCTGTCCAATTGCATTCAATTTGGACCTTCACTATTTGGAACATTATTTAACAACAAGTTTTTTGATAGACTTCATTACATTCTTCAGCTACTGTTCTCCCAAGAGCAAGCTATTTATGTGAAAAATTTGGTTGGAGAATGTTGGAACGAGTCGTTCATGAAATTTCTCTCCAAATTGCACGAAATTCTCTCCATATGCATTATCAATTTTGATCAATCTGTTTCCGTCATGGCCGAATTTACACTCATCCTGATAAATAATTATTGGGATACTACAACCGTACACTTGGAGAGTATTGCGCCCTTTCTATTTATTTACGAGCTTTCAAAAAAGAAATCCCCATTGTATGCTCAATATTTCAAGCCATGCTTCGTTGCTTCTATAGTGACGTCTTTACAGTTTTGGATGAAGCACCATTACCAAGATATATTGACACCTTTCTTAGTGAATTTGATCCAAAAATGGATGGAAATATATTGTGACCATTTCATATCAACACAATACATACACAGCATTGTGAATGATATTTTGCAAAGCTCCCTCATTCAAACGATATTCTCTCTTCTTGGAAAGAAAGATCTTTCACAAGAGCTACACACATCCATCACGTCATTCCTCTCGTTCATGATATCTTCCCTTAACAGCAATGACATTTACAATATTCATATGCTTTCGGACTATCTTTCATCCAAAGTAATTTTACCGTTCCTCTCTTTTAATGACTCGGAAAATGATAAGGAAAATGTCCCGCTGATGATAACACGGTTGCTTCAAGAGCGAAGATTAATACCTCTACTTGTGGAAAATCAATTCCAAAAGCATGTAGAACTTCTATTGGGAGAAGAAGCAGAGCATCTTATTGGTCAAGAATTGAAGGAACTACTTTGTAAGACAGAGAAAGAGCTAAGCCACATGAAAACCATGCTCAAAATGCTCCCTCACGAAGAGAAGCAGCTTCTCCAGATAACTGAGGGAGTTCAGTTCAAAAAATCTCTGGAAGAAAAGTAAACACAACCATTACTCACTCTGTAATTAGAATTGGACCAACTTTTTCTGTGAGTATTCAATTTTTATGTTTTTTTTACTTGTCGTCGTCAAAGTAGCCATAACATCTATCAACTTCTAAGGGCCCTGAGCCTGATAAATGTGGAATCAATTCTTTCATATAGCTTGGTAAATGATCTAAATCATCGTTGTCACTATTTTCATTTTCGTCGTCATCGTTATCTGAGTTGTTGTCATCATTATTCATGGAGGGTGAGTAATAAAATTGGCTTTGTTCTGGACTTCCAACGCATTCCTTTGCTTTTGATATTGAGAGTCGTTGAAGACACCTATTATACAAGTCACAATATCCAATATCTTTTCTTTTGTCAATCTCTTCATCTCCCAATACTGATTCATAACCAAATTTATCTGAGGCGTATATTGGATAGCAAAACAGCCAACCGCAATATCTTTCATCGAGATCGTCTGGTTTTTCGCTAGTCTTCTTTTTTACAAATTTTGTTGGAATTCCTTGCCAATCATATTCAGTTTCAAGGAAAACCTCTTTAACTTTTGGATGAACAGCGCCATACATGAGAGAGGAAGATTTTTCATAGATATGGACCTCATCAAACGTTTTCAAGACTTCCACCTCTCTATCCTCATTGAATATTAAGGACATTACTGAACGTTGTATCTTACCAACAAATTGAACGGGAAGTCTACTGTTAGCTCCTCTGTTTGCATTCAATTTGAGGAAAGAGCTGTAACGCTTAATGACCTCAGAAATGTGATCCTCCTCCTCCACTCCAAACCAAAAAGGTAAATTGTGGTCATTTTCATCCTCTTCTTCCTCATCATCTTCCTCCTCTTCTGAAAATTCTGAATCGTTTTCGTCAAAGGAGCTTGTGCTCTCAGATTCTTCTTCCTCTTCTCCTTCAAAATATATGTATGATGTTGTATCCTTATGGATGTTTAAAGAAAATGCATCTTCTTCATGGTGAGCAGAATTTACCCGATTTGGATTAATGGAGGAGTTAACAGTTAGAGTGTTGGAAGAAGAGGAAACGATTGTTGGAAAACATCCACAATTTGCATTCTTTCCGATAGCATGACCGCTACTGGTCATAGATGATTGACCCGTAGCAGTTTCCGTACCACCAGACGCAACCGTTGGAGGCTTTCCCGATTCATCAGGTTGAACCATAGGGAAAGCTCTCTTCACTACAATTGTTGTTGCTGTTGTTGGAGAGTATAAAGACTGAAATTCGAGTGGGGATGTACAAGCGGGAGACCGAGGACTCGTAGCATTCGGCCCATGAGCACAATGATTTCTGTTAAGCAACTGCTGTGCTGGTCGTGCTTGTCCTTGTTGTTTGGTCATGACTTGCCTCATGCTGGTACTATTACAAGAAGAAGGCAATGTATATGCCGTTTTGGAAGAGTGTGGTGTTCGGGGTGGTAATGATTGTTGTGATGATGCTTGAGTCATGTTGTTGTTGTTGTTCTTGCTATCAGAATTTACTCCCATGCTAGAGTCTTCTTTCATATTTACAATCCGATGATGGCGATGATAATACTAAAGATTCAGTTAGTTATTTTGTCAGAATGTTGATGATAATAAAATTGGTTTTCGTTAATTGGTGGTTGGTGAAAACAATGAATTCTATAATGGTTCTTGAAAAAGCAGTGATATCGGTTGATAGCCAAAGTAGAAGGCATGAGAGTCAAAGTCCGAGAAATGAAGAAGCGCGAATAATTCGTTGATGCTTTCAAAGTGTGTTGAAAATTGCGAAAACACTCAAATTCAACACTGTGGTTGTCGATGTTGTTGTGATTTGTTGTTTTTGATGGTAACACTACAACGATGATGATGATGGTTACAATTCTGAAAAGCCCTTCAATCTGTAACACCAGAAAATGAATGCGAATGGACAATCAAGATGCGACTTCGGACACACTCTCTCAAGCAACTCAACAGCAACCGGGAGATGTGTGAAATTTTTTGTGTTTGTCTAAAAAAAACCATTTTTGCATTCACGTTGGAAAATTGTCGTTGGATGATGGATGTGATCGAAGAAGAGATTCGAGAGGTTCAAGTTGTCAAGGGCCATTTACAGCAGTTGGTACTTGTTTTGACCGGCGGTCATTGTAAACACAATGACAGGGTGATGCTCCTTCATGATCGTTGTCTTTTTTTCGAATATCTTTTTATTGAGAAGGCATGAACATGAGAAAAACTTTCAGTTCGAGAGGTCACAAGAACGATTCTTCAACAAGTTGTTCAAAAAAATATATCCCCACACAATGCTGTCAACATCCACCTCACATCCCACGCTCATGAAAGAGCATTCCAAGTATGTCATTATCCATCTTGATATTGACTGTTTTTATGCCCAATGTGAAGAAGTTGAAAATCCAAGTTATCGGGACGTTCCTCTCGGAATTCAACAAAATCAAACAATATCGACTGTGAATTACTGTGCTCGTCTTCGATATGGTGTTCCGAAAATGACTCGTGTGAGTAAGGCAAAGGAAATTTGTCCCCAACTAGTGATTATTCCAGCACGAATGGAAATTTATAGGGAAATGAGTCGAAAGATTTTTGAAGAATGCATCGCCGAGAAGATTTATCATCAATTTCATGGCGAATGTGTTCTTGAAATTTGTGGAGTCGATGAAGCCTATGTAGATGTGAGTGATGAGGTGAAATGGAGATTACAACATGTTGGTGACGAACAACAACTATCTTCATCATCAAAGGAATCATTGAACGATGAAAGAGAGGACCATGAAAAATCAATGAAACATTCAAATCGAATCGATCCCAACCAATGCATGGGAACAAAAATTGCACTCTCGCCCAAGAGTCAAGATGTCTCTCTCAATATTGGATCACAAATCGCTCAGGAGATTCGAGAAGAGGTGTTTCAGAGACTGGGATTTACGTTGAGTGCAGGAATTTCACATTCGAAATTTCTTTCCAAACAAGCTTCGAAAAAGAAGAAACCAAATGGACAAGCCACTATTTATTCAGAATCGTTCAATGATGAAATCAATCCTTTAGATATTTCTATAATTCCGAATATTGGATATCAAACAAGAGAAAAACTTGTTCAACAGTTTCACATTCTCTCAATTCAAGAATTTCGTGGACTTTCTTATCTCAACATTCGAAAATGTTTTAATTCAGACAAACTTGCCTCTCAATCGCTCAACATTGCAAATGGAAAATATGATGAGGATTATGATCGAGTGGTTTCGAGAGGACCAGTAAAGTCAATTGGTTCTGAACTGACGTTTCTTCCCATTCACAATTCCTATGAAGAGGTGGATCAAAAATTGAGAATTATAACACAGGACTTGGCACCAAGAATTCAAAGAGACATGCAACGAAACAACAAGAGATTTGCCACGACACTCACATTGAAATACTGTCATGGAGGATATTTTGACAAATTTCACTCCAAGAGCTGTAGAATTGACAGCAAGTGTTACTATTCTTCAGCCAATAATGTCACAGCATCTTCTCATCAAACTGAAAATACCATTCATTCAAGAGCCATGTTGTTATTTAAGGAAACTGTACCATTACCGTTCAAACTGCAAAGAATTGCAGTGAATGTTTCAGATTTTCAGCAAAATCACCAGACCAGTACTGGTGTAACTTCCTCTCAGAAAAGATCACTGCCAAGCAGCAATAGTGGACAACAATCCATTACTGCATTTCTCACAAAGAAGGTGAAACAGTAAATCCCTCAATCTATTTGGATCCCAGCTATACCTTCAATCATTCCAACGATTGAAATCCTTCGTAGTTTGATGGTTATTCTTGGAATTGTCCTTTTCGTGCACTGAGTTATCAAAAGTGAGCTCCGTTCTTCATTGTTTTTTTCGGGACAAGCACACTCTTCATGAGGAACAACATCGCCGTTGTAAAAAATATTTTTTGGTTGACTAGAATGTTTTGAATTTTTGTTGAAAAAAAATACGCCACAACTCACACGATCACCATGAAGTTGAAAATCTCAGACCCATCCACTGGTTGCACCAAGATGGTTGTTATCGAAGAAGATGCTGAAATCAAATTGAGATCCTTCTTTGACAGAAAGATGTCCGAGGAAGTTGAAGGAGACAACCTTGGTCCAGAATATAAGGGATATGTTTTCAGAATTGTCGGTGGTCAAGACAAGTCTGGTTTCGCCATGAAGCAAGGTGTTTTGGCTAATACCAGAGTCAGACTCTTGTTGGACAGAGGTTCCCTTGGTTTCCAAAAGTGGAGAGGAAGAGACGGTGAAAGAAGAAGAAAGTCGGTCAGAGGTTGCATTGTTGGCCCAGATCTTTCAGTCTTGTGTTTGACTGTTGTCAAGAAGGGTGAAGCTGAATTGCCAGGTATCACTGATACTGTTAGACCAAGAACTCACGGACCAAAGAGAGCATCCAAGATTAGAAAGCTCTTCAACTTGACCAAGTCTGATGATGTCCGTAAATACGTTATTAAACGTGAAAGAAAGGTCGCCAAGAACAAGAAGGTCCTCAAGGGTGTCAAGATCCAAAGATTGGTCACACCAGAGAGAATTAGAAGAAAGGCCAAGGAAATTAAGAGAAGCATTAAGAGAGTTGCTGCTTCCAAGGCTGAGAAGAAGGCTTATGCTAAGCTTTTGGCCAAGAGAAAGTCTGAAACACAAAAGAAGACTGAAACTGCTCAACAAAAGAAGGCTGAAGCTGCTCAACAAAAGAAATAGATCAACTAAATTTTCTCCCCATAACTCTTCCATAAAACAAAAATTTAAATATTCATTTGAGTGGTGCGTGAGTGTTTTCGGAAAGCTGATTCATAAATTTTCATTGGCTGCATGTCTTTTGGTCGAATTGTGAGTAAAGAAAAAGGCCATTTTGTTCGAAGCAATACTTTAATCATCTTCATCGTCGTCATCATCTTCGTAATGTTGTTGAAGCAAATTCGAAAAGGTCTCTTCATCAATGACAGGAGGAGTGTAATGTTGTGGTTGTGGTGGTTGTGTGGTTGTTGTTGTTGAAAAATTGGTGTTCCTAGTATGAACTGCCTTTGCATTAGAGACGGTCGTGGTTGGAACTCGTGGACTCGAGTGAGATGCAGAGTGGTTGTTGTTGTTGTTGCTTCCTGATGAGGTAAAGGAAGAAACGTTAGAAGTACCACTCAACGCATGCACTAAGGTTTGTTGAGGTAATGATGATGTTGTTGTTGTTTCCTTAGTATTTGTTTTTTCACTTGTTCCACTCTTTTCATCCTCAAGTGAAATGTTCTCGAAACGATCTGAATTTACAAGAATTGATTGATCTGAATTTTGTTTGAATGGATTCAGGGTCAATAATTCATTCTTTGGAATGTCATTAAAATTCAATAAATCGTCAAGATCATTCTGATGTTGTTGTCGATTCTCTTTGGATAAAGTCTTTTGAGATGACAGGGTTGACATGGATGGTTGTTGTTGATTCCCTTCACCACTCTTACTCTCAAATATATTTCTATAACTGGAATCTTTAAATTTCGAATACAATTGTTGTTCCTCTTTGTGCAAAACGGAGGTCGCTCCTTCCAACGATCGATTCAAATACGACTCCAAATCTTCATCATCCTCTCCACACTGATGATGGTTTTGATTCGAATACATGGATGATGCATTCAAAGAAGAATTTTCTTCATCATCTTCTTCATCTCCCAATAATAGTGAAGAAGTTTCCTCTCGTGTTGGAGGTTTATCGGAGGATGCTTTTGATGATCCATTATTATTCGATGATGAAAAAACTCCTCCAAATAACATGTAAAAAGGAGCAAATAATTGATAGAGACATCCCGAATAGATTGTTCCGTCCATTCCTCCTCCGCTGCCACTTGTCAATTCAGATTCGTATTGTTTTATTTTGTGTTTGGAAATGGTTTCATTCACTGCTTGATGGTAGGATGTTGATGATTGTGTGGATGGAAGAAGGTGATTCTTGTTGTTTTCAATGTTTGTGGAGAGAATTTGAATTTCCTCTTCTTTTTCTTCTTTATTGAAATGGTCCATATGATTGTGACGATGAGAGGGTGATGGAGATTGGGTAGTTATGATGATTCGGTGGTTGGTATCATCATGGACGACATTGTTGGGCATTTTCTTTTATTAATGTGTACTTATGTGTCTGATTATAATGGGTAATGATGACAGTTGAATGTTCAAACGCACACACTCTCGACAAGCATTCAAGTATTATTATTAAATTATAATATTAATAATAATAATAACATATTTATTTATATATTCGAATACAGGCTGCATAGTAGGAACATAGATATAATTCTCCTGTTTTATCATCAAGGCATAAACCATCTGGATTGTCCGAAGTTTCATCCATTCTTGTATCCAATGATTTGATGCATTGTCCTTGTAAATTAAACACTTGAATTCTACATTCGGTGTCTGTACAATAAATGTGTTGTGTGACATTGTCAAAAACTAGACCTTGACATGAATCATGTATTTCATCATCTCCTTTTTTATCAAACTTCTTAATGAGCTTTAAGGTGTAATTGGGTGATGATTGAGTGGCACCCTGATGGAATGTATGTTCCAATTTCATCATGTATATTGAGCTTGGAGATGTATATTCACTAATAATGACCATTCGATTTTCACTGCAAACATCTATTGCATAGGGACATTCAATCATGAGATCTTGAAATTTCTGTATGGTAACTCCTGTTTTGGAATTGATCAAGAAAATGTCATTACTTGTAAAGTCTGACACAAATAATAATTGATGATCACCAATGGTTGATGCATGTAGATCTCTCATCATGGCCATTCCACGAGCATCTCTAGCATCTCCATTCTTCCAAATAAAATCATTTCTCGAAAAAGACAATTCAGAATTGAAAATTGTTTGAAGCATCTTGTACAAATCAAACTTGAATACTGTCCCCAAGTTGGAATTGGCATCAAAAATTAAAGCATCATTCCAACCATTGTATTTCTCTTCAATACACAAGTACATGGGATGATCCACATTCACAGATCCAATAAATGTTTTATCAGTATATCGAAAAAAGTAAAGCTTCATATTGGAATAGTCAGAAACAATAATGACTTGATGAGTGTGGGAAATTTTTACATCACTCGGTGCACGGAAGGAGTGTTCTGAATGGTCCACATGATCTGAATCATCATCTTCATCAGAAATATTGGTCGTTGGATCATGGATGGATGAAGGTCCAAATATTTTCGGAATGATATGAACTTGATTAAAGTTCATTGAAAATCCATGCCGCTTTCGAGTTCTCATCTTGTCTTTAAATTTTGAAAATAAGGTGTTGTTGTTGTAAAGATCATCATCATCATCACTAGGAGGAATATCGTTCTTAAAATCTACCAAAGTGATCGAATTGAACATTTTTTTGTCAAGTTCTATTTTGGACATGAACTTGATATTTAATTGCACATTATTTGAGATTAGTGTTGAGGAAGACTACTGAGATTTGACACCATGTTAACTCCTGTACTAGTAGCAATGTTGTCGTTACGTTCCTCAATGTCGAATAAATCGTGGAATAATTGACAAGTATCATGGAAATGGAATACGTTTCCTCCTAATCTGAACAAATCAACAAGATATCCTCCTTCAGGTAATTTGAATACTTGTAAACCCACGCTAACATCTTTTTCTACGTGATGGTTATATTTACATTTCAAATTGTACTCGGAAATAATCTTCCATTTGAGATTCATCTTTTTCAAGACTTTATACACGCATTTCATTGTGTCTTGAGCATTCTTTCTGTTAGTCTTAATACCGAGATGGTACTTTTTGTGAACATCTGTTGTGTCAATTCTCAAATCGTCAATAACATTAACAGGAGTGTTCTTGTCTGCAGAGCTAATAGTGGACTCTTCTTCTTGAAGCGTTCCTCTTGGATCCAAAACCATTTCAATACTAATTTGTCCTGTTGGAGGTGAGCTACTGAGTGCAGGCCATGGATTAATTACTGCTTGAATATTATTCACATTACAAGTCTCTTTTTTCAATTGCATTTCGTTAATTTTCATATATTGATCCTTGATGGCAGATTTCATCTTGTGGTCAAGAATTAAATAATAAGCTACTGTTACACGATTCATTTTGCCATCCGAAATATCGTTAATGGCTTCTTGCATCTCTTCGTCAGTAATTGTTTTCTTGTCAGAAATTTTGAGTAGTGCCTCACGAACGACTGCCTCGTCAATGTTTATATTTTCACTAGCATGACCAAAATTGGATGGAGGAATTTTCAAATAGTCTGGGAGATCTTTAACAAACCAAGGATGCTTTCTAATGTCAGAAATTGTAGCGCGTTGAACTGGATCAACCACCAAAATCTTTTGAATTAAATCTTTTGCCTCAGCAGAAACGTGAGATGGAATAGTATACGAGCATTCCTTAATCTTCTTAAATAATGTGGGAATATTGTCCTCATCAAACGGTAATTTTCCACACAAAAGTGCGTACAAAATAACACCACAACTCCACACATCAACTTCAGGTCCTGCATATAATTTTCCGGTAATCACTTCAGGAGCTGCATAATTAGGAGAACCGCAAGATGTTTTGAGAAAAGCGCCATCATGCATAATATTCGACAATCCAAAATCTGCAATTTTGACTTGATAATCATTATCCAAAAGAAGATTTTCAGGCTTCAAATCTCTATGATTGGACAATAAAATATTATGAATGAATTAGCATTCCAGTGTGATATACTTACCTATGGACGACCATATAACGATGACAATATTCTACACCTGATATGATTTGTTGAAAGAATTTTCTGGCCTCTGATTCAGATAGCTATCGTAAAGATGACAAGTAGATCATTGAGTGTTAATTCCAAAAGAAATAGAAGGACAATTTGATAAATTTGTTCGAAACGCCATAAGTTACAGCATAAATCACACAAAAAGTACGTACTCTTCCTCTCTTCACAATATAATCAAACAATTCTCCTCCTCCGACATATTCCATCACAAGAAAGATTTCCGTGCTTGTTTCAATAACTTCATATAACCGAATGATGTGAGGATGTCTGAACAATTTGAGAATTTTGATTTCTCTCCTAATCTTTTTGTCCATCTTGGAGTTTTGAATTTTCTGTCTGTTGAGAATTTTGACAGCAACTTTATGACCCGTACTCTCATGTTCGGCCACTATTAAATTTTGTCATCATCACGAGTATATTTATATTAGTATATTTAAAGAGTATCAAAATACAAAACAAGAATAAATTTGCAACAACACAAAAATATTTCGTTATAGTCCCACAAGAATTATTATTGGTCGGTGTAAACTTACATTTGACTTTACCGAAAGAACCCTCGCCGAGAGTTTTTCCTAGCCTATAATTACCAATTCTAATAACGGACATTTGTAATGCTGATGGAGCCAAATATCTCTTGGTGATGGCTAATTGCTATTTTTTTGTGAAAACGCACCACCAATGGTATTGATGTATTGCCATTCAAAGGCAATGTGTGTTGGGATAAACGCTCATTCATTCATGCATGGGTGAATTTGAACATTTACATATCGTTATTATGTTGGAAGGATGATACTTATGTTGTTGCATTTCTGTTCAGCTTCCTTCTCACTGTGATGATGATGATGTGATTGAACCGAGCTCGGTCTCATTCATTGACTCAAACAAAAATTATCCTCTTCCATGATGATGATGATGATAGCGAAAGACAAGACCGACCCTAATAGCTCCATACAAACAGAATGGAAATCATCATCCAATGATGATGACCTTCTCCATCGTACGATACATACCCAATTCCCTTCCCTTTCTACCATAGTGATGATTCATGGATGGCTACAGAATGGAAAGATCTTTAAAGAGAAGAGTGCAGCATTCCGAAAGCAATTTCCCAATCATCCTCAATTTGCCTTCTCCTTTCCCGATGCTCCCTTTGTTCAATCGAGAGGGGAGGTGTCCCAAATGATTTCATCACCAGCCAGAGTGATTAACAGCAGCGATGAAGACAACAAGAATAACAATGCAGAAGAACCCATTCCCGATGAGGCTCTGCAGAGAACGTGGGTGTTTTCGAGAGCGAATCGAACCGTTTACGCTCGATGGAGAGAGGCCATTCTCTATTTATTGAATTTCATGAGAAAAGAAAGGAAGGAGGGGAAAAGAATTGATGGCCTGTTAGGATTTTCTCAAGGTGGAGCAATTCTTACTGTATTAGCAGCTCTTATCTCAATGGAATATCATCATTTGCTCAATCGAGAGAGTTTACCCAACTCACTCTTTGAACCTCAACCTCACGATGAGGACGAAACAAATTTTGATGACATTATTGAGGCCATTAGAGAATTGTTTTTTCGAGTCAACCCTGAAAATGGAAAGAAAGAATGCACTCTTAAGTTTGTGATCCTTGTTGGAACGTTTAAACCCAATTCGATACAAATTAATCAAGTTGTGGAAACATTATTTAGTAGAAATTTGAAAATTGGAGGCTTTTTCAAAGCATTGCATATTTATGGTCTTAATGATGACATTATTAAACCAGAACGATCACAAGAATTGGCTGAAGATTGGTATTGTAAAGAAGGAACAGTGATACTGACACATCCAAAAAAACACATTTTACCCACAGGAAGTGAAGTTAAAGAAGAATTGAGAAGATTTGTCAAATCTTCTCTTTAAATGGTCACACAATGAAAGTTCATTATTTCTTAAACAACGAAAGACAAAGAACAGTACCACTCTCGAGAGTAACTTCAAGGATCTCATTTCCATTTCTTTGCATTCCTTGCTGTTTCTCTGAAATGAGATTTTTATTTATTTATTTTAAAAAAATATGAACAACAATTAAATCACAATGATTTCTTCTTCCGATTCAACATTTACAACGATTGATTCAAAGAATAACAATGCAGATCCGACCGATAACACCAAGTCGATATCCACGACAACGACATCTGCCACAAACAACATCAAGAAAATTCAATTAGTGAGTGGTGAAGAGAGAAATGAAATTCAAAAACAAATGGACTCTCTCTATGAAGATATTGAAGTTGTAAGCAACAGTCCGAACAGTACCACCAGTACAGGCAGTAGTAGCAACAACAACAACAACATTCATAATAATTACCTACTTGCGTCTTCTGGTGAATTGGATTCTGTCATTACAAATCGCGAAAAGAACAATATAAGAAGAACACACTCTCCGATCGGATACGATAACTATTTTGAAGGTCACCACACTTCATCATCATTTTCCTCTCCTCCAACCATCGGATCCTACAGTTTCAACAATGGTTACAACAGGGTTCCGAGTGATTCTAATCTTGGATTGAGTGCTAGTGGTGAAAAAAGTGATCCTCTCCATTCTTTCGTAAATGGTGATAACCTTTTAAAAACAAGATACAATTCTGAACCAAATTTAAAACTGGAAAAGGAGGCACTGGATCATTTGAGATTTATTCAATCTATAAATTTTAGTCAGAATTTTGCTTCTATTGTGAATGATCCTCTTGAGGTATGTGTCAATTCTCTATTTTGATGGTTGACACTGATGGTAAAATTATTTTAAAATCAAAATTAACTATTTTCCCACAGGAGAGCTCGTGGATTGACGCAATTGGAGATTACTATTGGTACGGAGAAAAAGAGAAAGTTATTCCCTCAGCAAAATTGCCCTATATCGATTTAAACGATAAGGAAATTTCTTCCTATTTGAACAAAATAGAAGACTTGTACAAAAATTTTGAAAAAAACAAAGCCAAACCAATAATTCCAGCACAATATTATGAGTCTGAACTCGAGAGTGCAAATGCTATGGATATTGCCATAAACCGAGAGCTTATTCCACCAATTTTCTTTGAAGAAGGTTTTAATCTTGGGGATATTGCAACATTTCAACAAATTTTTTCTGAAGAAGCAATGTCAGCTTCCTTACTTTTCCAAGAAAAGGTTTGTATCAGTGGTATTTGAAATTTTTAGCCAAAGTAACAATTTTACAGCTGTCACATTATTTAGATAGAACTGAGGTACTCCTGATACAGCAAGTGACGTTTAGGTCCGCCAAAATTTTCGATGCTTTTGTGCAATACAATCAGCTAGATGATGATGTCAATGAAGCTCTTCCACTTATCAAAAGCCTACGTAGCAAAATTAAGGAAATAGATGATATTGCAGCCAAGAGCCCTTTAGAGGTTACGGCACTAGTCAGAAAGAAAAACAACATGAAAAAGACTCTTGAATTTTTGAAAGTTATTTATGCTATTCAACAGAGTCATATCATGATCGATGAATTAATTGGAAATAATGATTTTTTAGAAGCTCTTGAAATTATTAACGGAACTAGAGAGCTTGTGAGAACAGAATTTGCCAACGTAAAATGTCTAAGAAATATTCCAGAAAGAATGAACGAAAAGGTTATTGAGATACAGTCAAAAGCTCAAAACTTATTCATATCCAAATTGATAGAAAATTATTTATTTATTTTTGAACCTCCCTCCGGTTACAATGACACAGAATATTTGTCAATACTTGAAAGTGATTTAAGGCCAATATTGAAAACAATGCTAGTCATTTGTGATACGCAGTTTATAGTTCAGCGATACCGTGATAAGTTAATGCCATTCGTGAACGAAAGAATAACATCAACTATTGATAAGACTTTGGACGGCATGAAAATTACTTTTTCGAACTCACCTGTGTCCACTTCCGTCGACCAAAATGCTTCTAGATATCTCAACTCTAAAACAATTCAGGTTCTAAAGTCAATACCTATGGATCAGTTCATCACAGTCCTTTCGACAATTATTGACAAGGCCATTTTATTGTTAAAGCGAAGCATGGAGATTGTGACAATTCTACATACGTTATTTGAGAATGTTGAGGCAATCCAAAAGGTGAAAGCGTCAAACATGTTGAAAGAATTCGACAAAATCAATACTTCCTTGAACGAACAAATCCATTCAAGACTTTCAATTATTGTGTCACTGAGAGGTGACATTGTCAAGTCTAGCACCAAATCTGAATTGCTGAAATTCATGGAAATGAGTTTTAACTTTATTGAAACTGCAGAAAAAACAGTTGGGAAAAAGGTTAACCTTTTGAGAGGATCTCTTCAAGCTGTTGGTCAAACATTTTTGGATGAGTTCAGTAAGCAGCATGTAGACACACTAAAATCAATTTTAGAAAAGGAGACATGGGCATGGGTTGAGAATATTCAGCCCAAATACCAAGAGATTATAAATACTATTCAAGACAAATCGAAAGAAAATGGAGCTTCCACAAACAATTCAAAAAGTCACACCTCCAACAACGACAACAGCACAACGGAGGCAAACGCCATGAAATATATTACTGTGAAAGGAGAGCTCTTTCCTGTGTGCTCGAGCTTCTTGCATTTAGTGAAAATGACCAAGAATTTTCTTGAATTACTCTCTGTGGAACATCAAAAGTTTGTCAGCAGCTATGATTTGAGTGCAAGGATTTGCAATTTATATGCCGTAAGTGTCATGTGTGTTTGTTTCATATTTAACAATATCTTTCGTTGTAGGTGTTTAATGTGGATGTGAAAAATCTCATTTTGAAAGCTGGAGCGATTAATCCTAAAAGTGGTTTAAAGACAATCACTGCTAAGCATTTAGGTTTGTATATTATGATTTATTTTATGTCATTCTCGTAATGACTTGGTATTTACTGTTATATTGTTGATGTGTTGTTCATTAATCTCATGTGTCTTGATTGGTTTTTGTAAAACAGCTCTTACATCTGAAGTTATGGGAGCGGTGACTCTTCTATTACTTGAGGTTAAGAAGTATATCGAAATTACAGAGCCATCTCTAAAGGGTAAATTAATGAAATTCGAAGATATCTCAACAGATTTAAAGGAACACAGACTTGCCTTATACCAAAAAGTTGTTGATATTATGAAGGATGTTCTCGAGAATCATGCCAAAGATTTCGTAAAGTTTGATTGGGACAATGGACAACGAAAGGACTCTCCTTTGAATGCCATCATTAAGGCCATGCTCTCCATTCACAAAGTCCTCACTTCCTATTTACATACACATCCCAATGACTTGCGAAAGGTTTTCTCACGAATCGCCACCATGTACATTAACAGAATGAAGATTGGCATCCAATCTCTTCAAAACAAAGTTTCTAGAAAGGCCATCAAGAACATTAGAGAAGACGTCACAACAGTTACCAAACAGTTACAGAAATGGTCTGATGTTATTTATGATGATATTAATTTGAATGAAATTGAGAATTGTTTCAATGAGTGCTTTATGCCTGTGACTGCAGTGCCGAACAACTCAACACTGCAAACACAGCCAACAACCACGACAGCCGTACCAAATGCAACCACTAATACCGATAGTGCAACGTCAAGTAATAAATAAGTTAAAAAATTCATTGAACTAGTCTGTGAAAAAGCCTTGTTTCACTGTCACCTTTTCTTCTTTCTCTAACAATTTATCCAATTCGTCCAATACCGTGGTTCCAATTTTACGTGCAGTTTGCAACATTTTAGTTAGTTCGCTTGGATTTATACCCGTATGTTTACCACTCTTTTTGATAGAACAAATATTTCCCTTCTTATTTACAGACACTGTCATTCGAGTAGAGATACATTCTTCTTCTTCAAGTGAAGGATCAACAATAAACTTGCTTCCAATTCGTCCTAGAGTAACAGAAATCGGTATATTACTGCAATCAATTCGTGTGTATTCATGCTGGTCATCACTCAATTCAAACTCAGTTTCTGTTGGTGAGATTTCAATGACTTCAATTTTTGGTATTCTTGTGTTATATAATGCAGCTCTGGTAGCGATGGCCAAAGCATCAAACAAATTTCCAGCAGAATCCAACACAATACAATCCACATAAAGTATCCAACACTGTCGTCCTTTTACAATACACAATTTGGTCCAATCCATAGCAAATGAATTTTTCAATTGATTCCGAAGGGTAGATATCAATTGTGCATTAATTTCTTCAGCGCCTCTTCCTTCAAACTCATAACTAGCGCTCGGAGAACACTCTACATGTACTTCCAAACGTCCCTGGTCCGGAAAATCAGGATCCACTTCCCCAATCTCAACTTTGACTCCGACCAACACATCCGTATGATTAGCCAGCTTAACTCTAGCACTCCCATTGGTCTGTGAAACAATTCCAGTCTCTAGCGAGAAATCTCTATAATCCAAACGAGCCCTTCCATCATTCCGTAAATTTTGCTCCACACCATCAATGATGAACTGTTTTTCAGTTTGTGAAAGTTTGAGCATTTTTTTTGAACTTTATTTCAAAAATTATGCGAATAATAATTAAAGTTCTTCAACATCTTCCATAAAAACATTTATTATTTATCATAATGAAAAAGACCATGTTGTTCATATTGAAAATGGATCAGATGATGATAATAAATTTTATTATAATTATTATTCATACAATGTCAATAAAAAAGATTAAAAAAAATTGAAAGACAAACAACTGTCTAACATGTTATTCTGTAGGGTCGAATTGAGAGTACTGAGTCGTGCTGGCCACCACGTCATGAGAATCTTCTTCTATAGTAGTAAACAATGTTGTTGTAGCATCACCATGATCAAGTTCAGAACGTTGGAAGGGTAAAGTCATGAGATTGGATGACGACGGCGACGACGTTTTCAGAACCACCTCTACACGATTCTCTTGATTTGCATTCGTTTTTGTGTAATATATTTGTGAAGAATCTTCATCATCCTCATGATCATCATGAAGAGGTTTTTTGAATGAATGATCAAAATGATCATTTTGTGATTTCTTTTTGTGTGAAAAAAGACAAAGTTTTGAATTTCGATATGCCTTTTTCAATAACTCTACATTGAAGGTCATGTAAGTGAATGCAAGAGTCACGGAAATCATTCCACAGTCAAGCCATACATTTCGAGTAATTCCATAAAAAAGTGACGCTGCGTCAAATCCAAACATGTAAGTAAATAATGTCAATAAGGCTATAATCCAACCTGAAACAAGTGTCAGAGTGAGTAATAGCATGAGTTTGGTGAATCGATATTCAAAGGTACGAACAGTTTTTCGTAATTGTCGAAGTCGATAGAGAATTTTCAAACCAGAAATTGCAAATCCAGCCACAAAGCTCAATAAATAAAACAATCCGGCACTCGCCAATGAAATCCAAGCATATGAGATATTAGATGTCACTACATATAAAATTCCAGACAGGACCATAACAATCACAGTGCTTCCATAAAAGAGTCCTAATATTGATTTGTGAAAGATGGAAAGTGAAGCAGATGCTGGATTTGTTATTGCTTGCCTAGTACTCACAAGATGACTCCAAGAAATCACTAAACTACTATATCCACAAATTATAAATACACAACACATGGCCCTAAAGAATCCCTTAAAATAGACTGTGTGAAAATAGGCAAGGGCTGAGAAGTTGAATATAAATTTGAAGAAATTTTCCAAGAATCCACAGCAACAGGCAGCCACAAAGAAAGTTGGTGATTGAACTGAAATGCTGGAAAGAGCACTCATCACACCAAGGAGTCGTTTTCCAAATAAATAAAATTTGTTGAATTTTCTGACTTGTATGAATCCACCATCATTAAGGTGCATATCGAGAGTGATCGAAATCATGTCATGCGCTTTTGGATAGAGTATCAAAAAGGAAATCATGATGGCTAGTATAGCAAATGTGATACAAAATACAATGTGAAAATATCGATGTGTTAAATGGAAGAGAAATTTTTGATAAAAGTCGTCACATTGAAATGCAAAATATTGTTCGTTTGGATTTTGGTAATTACACCAACACGTAAATGGCACATCAAGAGGAGGTGTGACAAGATCTGATGATTGATGAAGTGAGAAGTGGATGGATTGTTGAGTTGAAATGATATTCCATGAAAATTCCAAACTTTTCAATGGATTGACATATTTAGAAAAATAAAATTGAAATAATTGTTCAAGTTTCACTTCTTTCAAAGCATCTCCAAGTGTTAAACTTTCATTTTCCATTCTTCGATATTTCAAAAAATTCTTTTGAAAATATGGAGTGAATAAAAAGTTAAAATCAAAAATTCCCAAATGACGATTAATCAATATATAATTTTCCAAAACATTGCCATCAGGATCTTGTGAATTCTTGGAATATGGCACATTATTACAATGCACTTGACTCCACAGTGTAAATTCATTCATTGTAAACAATTGACATTCTCCATGTTGAAGAGCTCTTCGAAATTCATTCGATTGACTTTGATTACAATACAAACAGTAATTAATGGTAGATCCCAATTCCATGATTTGTGACTTGTTTCTCAAATCCCATATCGATAGCGATGATGATTCACATAAATATTCTCTACAAAAAGATGATTCCTTTGATTGAAAATTTTGAACCTGACAAAAATCATCATATTGAACATCAAAAGGAAAGAGCATGGGATAATAAAATTGATTGACAGGTTCAAGATCCATCACTTCATTTCTTGGAAAGAGGACTTGATTGAGTATCGTGATCAAGGTTGATGAATTCATTGTTGAATAATTGTTGTTGTTGTTGTGAATGTTATGGTTGTTCAATAATCGAGAGAGTGTTGTTGTTTCAACATTATCATCATGAAAGGAAGAAGAAGTAACGGAACTAACTTGTAGCATGAGGAGCAGAAAGAAGGTGAGGAGGAGTAACAAAGTAGTTGTTCTTGGATCCGGGGAGAGAGAGTTGGATGGTGATGAATATGGCCCTTTCATGTCGTGATGAAAAGGACGAAAGGTTGTTGTTGTTGAGAGTGATGATGAAGGCAGTACATATGATGATGATGACATTTGTTTTGCTTTAACATATGAGAAATCTGAATGAAGTCTGAAAGAACGAATCCTAAAACATTAACTTGCGCGATGCAACACAGGATCGATCCCAATCAGATTGGTCATCATGATTGTTCGGCACTATTATTGGAGAGGAGTGAATCAGTGATCATCACTTGGATTTCGAGATGATGGGTCTGGAAGAATACTTTAAGGAACTTTAAATCAATGGATCACTTGTCTGTTCAATTGAATACAAACCTCACTCACTCTGCTCGCTTGTCTTAGTCTAAGTTTTCGTCATCCACCACCGGCAATGTCAACATGATCTTCCTTTTAAACCGCAACAGTTCTTTCGAAATCAACTCTTCCAAATATAGATTCTCTCATCATCATTGAAAAAAAAAATCAAAAATGAAATTCGGTAAACGGCTTCGTGATGAGATGTGTCCCGAGTGGAGACTCTCGTACATGGATTACAAGTTATTAAAGAAGCTGATTAAACGAATACAAAACAAGTTGGAGGAGAGATATCATATTGATATGCAAATGATTTTAAACGAAGTTCCTCCGAGTGAGATTGGTGTTCCGAACGATTATTTGGATAAACCACTCATTTCGTTTTCTGATGAAATGGTATATGCAGTTACTGGTCTTGGAGAAGAGAAGGATGAACGGAACTTTATAAATTATTTAGAGGAATATAATTTGGAAGGAATGTACTTGAAAATTGTTCCGAAGGAAACTTGCCAATTTTTTAATCGATTAGAAAAGGAGTTGGACAAAGTGAACAAGTTTTATATCCAAACAGAACGCAAATTTTGTGTTAGGCATGCGGAACTGTTGATGCAGTTGAGTGTCGGATTGACTGAAACGCTCTCAAAGAATGACAAACAAAAAGTCAGAAGTGCATTCCAAGAACATTATAGAGCCCTTTTGCTTTTGATGAATTTCCGAACTTTAAACTTTCAAGGTTTCTCTAATATCTTGAAAAAGGTTTGTAATCGGAATTTTGTTGATTTTTATCATCATGATGAATTATTCAGTTGGATAAATATACTAAAAGCAAAACCAAAAGCAAATTGATGAAACGAGTGAGAGATTCGTATTTTTACTCATCCAAAGTATTGGATTACATGATGTCGCAAATTGAGTACAAATGCTCAGTTTACATGTTCAAAGGCGACAGAAAAAAAGCCAAAGATTTTCTTCGACTTCCACAAACTGTAGAGAAGCAAACGTCTCCGTTCAGGTCCGGTATCTCAGTGGGAATTGGAATAGTGCTATCGGTCGTGTTTGTTTTAACCTATGTATTCATGTATCCGAGAGATGACCCTCCGTCTTTTTCGGATGCAACTATGTATGTGTATCGTTTGACTTTGGTGCCGATTATTTTGGCAGTTTTGGTTGGTGTGAATCTTCAAATTTGGAAAAATGCAAGAATTAATTATGTATTTATCTTTCGTTTTGATCCCAGAGATCACTTATCAGTGTCTCAATACATTGAGGTATGTTTTAATTCAGTGAAATAATTAATGCCTTACAACCTTTTCAATAGATGACCATGAGCTTGTACAATATTACTATGGGAAGCTTAATTATTTACATGTACTCTATCATAACGAACACGTTTTATGAGTACGCCTATCTCCATCCAATATTTCTGTTTACATTTATCTTCATCTACATGTGTTTCCCATACAAATGGTTTTATGGTCACAGCAGATTATGGTTGTTTAGAATCATTCTGAGATTATTGATGGCTCCTTTTAGAAAAGTAGAATTTGCAGACTTTTGGTTTGCCGATCAGCTGACCTCACTTTCAGATTTTCTCTTTGAAATTCAATTCGTGTACTGTGTGTATCCATCTCTGTGGGTCGACAAAATTGACTCTTTCTGCTCAGACTCCAGATCTTTGGGTATTCCAGTTCTTAACATTTTACCCAACTACATTCGTTTAATGCAATGTTTGAGGCGTTACAGAGACAGCAATAAGCCCCATCCCCACATTACTAATGCGTTCAAATATCTCTCAAGTATTATTGCAACTCTAATTGCATTTTTGGATAAGAATATTGTCGCTCGTAAGTATTTAATAATTAGCCACCACATTTAATCATGTACTCATGCACTTGCAATAATATAGCTACTCTTCCTGGAAGCAGCTGGAATTATATGAGAACCACTTGGGTGGTTGCCAATATTATCAGTTCTATGTATAAGCTACTTTGGGATGTTGTGATGGATTGGTCTCTAATGCAATTCAATAAGGATTCAGAGCACAAACTATTGAGAAAAGAGCTGTTCTTTCATCCATACTTTTACTATTTTTCAATAGTGACAAACATTTTAGCAAGATTCTTTTGGATTGTCGTTTTACTGTTGAAACAGTTTTACAGTAAATATTTAACAGATCAGTGGATAGGTTTTTGTTTTGGTTTGGTAGAGATTTTGAGAAGATTCCAATGGAATTGTATTCGATTGGAAAACGAACATTTGAACAATGTTGGAGAATTTCGTGCGACAAATGTAAGTCATACTATTTGACATTTGGCAACTCATTCAAATTGATTACTTGTAACAGGAAATTCCTCTGCCATTTGAAATTACTAGAATGATCAATGCAAAAGAAAAGGAAATCACAAACGTGGACAGTAAGTATCGAACGATTTTAATGAAACAAGTTATGCTTATTATAATTTTATTGAAGAATTTTTGCATTATATTTTCTTCTTTTGCAGTCCAAAATCTGAGGATGACAACAACAGGAAAATTAGTCTCAATCCGAAGAATTTCCTTAAACACAGCATCTCTCATGTTTCATCACTACTTGGTCATGGATTTGGTTCAAATCATAATGTGAGTCCACGAAAATCGGTTCAGCAAGAGCACGAATATGAGTTGGACATGTATCATGTTTCTGATGCAGTTAGCAAAACAAATGTTGTTGATAAATCCAACTTGTCGAATGGAATAAGCAACCACGATAAAGATGTTGTGATCGACATCAAGGATGATGGAGATGAGTATGATGGTGGTAAGGACAGTGACCTAGAAGAGGAACAAAAAGTCGAGCTTACAAAAACTGCAACTCAATCCAATAATAATAATGGACTGTTTGTGAACACCTCAAATTTGAAGGCAAGGAAACAATCATTGTCATCCATTAAGGTCGACGCCAGCAATTCAAGCTTCAAAGTGCCACACACAATTCCACCCTCTGTAGAGATGAGTCCATCCATGAAGCCCAAATCAAGAAAGAAGACCATTGTTGTGGTTGAGGATGATGAAATTCCAGAGACACCCCATCTGACGACAAGATTTGGAGACATTTTCACCAGCGAGCCCGAAAATCAGCATATGGACAATGAGAAGCCAAACAAAACGGAAGATCAAGAGAAGAAATAGATTAAATATTATTATCAATTATTGAGGTAAATAGTCATGATGTTCGAAATTACTTTATTAGTGTAATTTACTTTTTCTTCCTTGGAATAGTGAAGTTGAACGAATCTGAGGCTACATTGGAGTGTGACGAGCTTTGCTCTGTTGGTTTGACCTTTTTTTGGGGAGGTGCAAGAGATGAAGAATTATGAGAAGAAGGAGGTGGGCGCTGTTGTTTTGATGGTACAGTACTGGTCGAATTGCTCTTTGATGGGGCATTCAGTTGGCGTCTGACAGAATCATTTTCAGTTTGTCGTTTCAATTTTTCCATTCTCTTTGATGTCTCCTTGCCAAACATGCTGTCCACATACGAAGGTGTCACAATTGGCGAGTCGGTGGCAATTGAATCCGAAGTGGGAGGGGATGAAGGTCGTTGTCTTGTGAAATCAATGTTGCTTGCTGCCCTGTAAACTGGTTGTTTCATGACAACAGGTGGGATGTGTGTTGTACTTAAATTTCCAATAGATGGCTTTGCATAGTTTGATTTGTAGCGGTCTGCATTAAAATCTGTTGTCACAATTGAAGCAGGCTTTCCTGGTTTGAAAATTTTTTGAGGTGCTGATGTAGTAGTGGATTCTTTTGTTTTACGTGATGTTGATGTCTCTCCCAAAGATTTTGTCCAGAGTTTGCTCTTCTTTGGGGCTGTTGTTGCTGTATTTGATGTGTTTCTACTTCTAGAAGATGAAGAGGACGAAGAACGTGATCTACTACCACTACTATTTCTAATTGTATTGGATGCAGCTCTGCGAGAAATAACTGGATCTATGGTTTGAGTCGTGTGCTTATCATTTTTGTTGTTGACTCCTGTAGATGTAGTGCTACTTCCAGAAATTATTCTTGATCCCTTTTTTTCAACCTTGTTCGATTCCTTAATTTCACGAAGTTTTTTTTCTCGTGCCATTTTCTCTTGATTGAGCTTATTGTACAATTCTTTCCAAGTGCCATTACCTTTATCAGCACAGGCTCCTGTTTCATATATTGATTATTATTAATCGTCATTTGTTGAACAATGATGAATGATTCCAAATATTCAACAATGACATCATCGTTTTGAAAATAAATTAAAATATAAAACCCACCTCCAAAATCTCGTATAGTCAAAATTCTCCATAGATCATCGGTATTTAATTCTATGCCTGCTTGCTCGTTCTTACTTTCAATTTCATCAAGCTTTGTAGCATCACAAGCTGAAAGAATACGCTGTATAATAGCATCCTCGACATTGTCCAAAATTGGTAAACTATCGACATGAGTTTGCAATAATTTAGCACATATATCAAAAAGTGATGGAATAGCCGTGCTTTTCACTATCAGAATGGTCAATTTCAATTCATCATAATCCCGAAATAATTTCCGATTTTGGGCATTTTAAAATATTTGAAAATCATGATGGGTAGATGATGGTTTCATCACTTACTCGCTTCAAATTGCAAGTTTGATCCTTGCTTTCGTCGAGCAGTCATGTTTCCGCTGCTCTGACTTGAGGCAGGAGCTGTCGTCTTTTGGCGAGGTGGTGCTTGGCTCATTTTTTATGATTAATTTTCAAGTTTACAAAATGGATAGCGAAAGGTTCATCCATGCGATCTTTCTGAATGTTGTTGAACAGGACAATATAGGATGACAATCTGCTCTCATCTAAGGTTTCAACATCTGAGATCCTTCTTGTCACAACTGGATATTGCCCTTTCATCTTTCAAGAAACAGTAATTCGGCCTTAAATCAATGAACAATAATTAGTACCATTGAATATATGTAATGCCAGACTTATTGTGAGCCTTCCTATTTCTGGGAAACATCTTGATGCAACACTTCAGAGTCATTAGCTGAAGGAGGGGTAGAATTGAGGAGAAAAGAGGATGCGTTTGCCTTCCAATATTCAATAACACCTGTCATGTTTGGAGATACATGTTTTTCCAAAGTGTCACACACTCGCAAAATTCGCGAAAAGTCAGATGTGCAGAAACACTGTTCAATTTCCATTGAACATTGGCGAATTTTGAGTTGATTTTCGGTAGCTTCTTTAACAGTGGATTCCATGGTATAAATTCGAACTGGATGACTCTTTCCTGTGAGTGTAACATGGTCTACAAAATAGCAAACAAATTGATCTTTGACTTTTTCAAAGGTGTTGTGTCCAATTAAAACTTGTGTTCCAAATTTTCTGTTCAGCTTGGTAATACCAGAGGCAACATTTGCATCATCTCCAAGAACCTTTAATGAGTAAGACATTAATTCCAAAAATAACCCGTTTTGCACATTACTTACTGTAAAGTTAATTCTCGAATTCGTGCCAATATTTCCAGCGAGAAAATTTCCACTATTTATAGACAAGCCAAAGTTGATGCATGGATAATTAATTTTCCTCCACCTCGAATTTAACTTGGCGAGACATTGTACAATTTGAACGGCAGCATTGCATGCCAGTATCTCATGATCTTTCACACTAGTTTTTGGTCCATTCCAATATGCTACTATTCTATTACCGGCATACTTATCAATTGATCCTTTGTGATTTTCAACGATCTCATAAATTTCTGAGAAGAGATCGGTGCTCAGTGAAATAAAGCTCACTCGATCTGTTTTTTCAGCAAGAAGAGTAAATCCATACAGGTCCATGACCAGTATGGACATGTTTCTTGAAATCATTGCTTCTCCGGCGAACTTCTTGGCGATGACATCTGGCACATATTTAGAGAAAATGCTTAGACCTACACGCATGCTATTTAAACTTTGTTGCATTTGACGAATGTCATATAATACGCTAAATCCCATCGAAACTCTTTTGTCAAGCCGAACGGAACTAAAATTCCCAGCCACTAATTCCTTCATTTGATGCTTGATTCCCCTCAAAGAGAGTTGAATGAATTGAACAACTGAAATTATAATAATTAAACCAAGGAATAAAACAACCGCAAATATGACAACGGACGAAATACTACTTTGAAGCACTTCTTCAACAAACAATCGTTGAGGTACTGCAATAACAGAGCCCCAATTAAGTCCATATTGATCAGTGATTGTAAATAACACAATATCTAGAGTAGGTGTTTGTCCTGTTTGAAAAGAAAAACTTCCTGCTTCCTTGATTGCCAATCCTTGTAGCTGTTGATTGGAAGGTGCGTTTTTCCAAGCAGTAATTTGTTGCAAAAATCCTCTCGAAATTGTTTCATTGACAAGTGCGTTCATAATAATATCTGATTCGTTCTGTAATGAAGGATATCCTAAAAATTTGGTAGCAGCAACCATTTGTCCTTGTGAATTAATAATAAATGAAGCAGCCACACCTGCTCGAATGGCTGATTTAGTTAAAGTGTCAGAGATATTTTTCACATTCAGTTGAATTCCAATTACTCCAAATAAATGGCTGGGTATCCTAGGAGCGGTAGAGCTAGGATATATAGCAGTGCTGGAATAATTTGCATTTAAACTTGAAATAGTGCTATTAATATAAATAGGTATGCAGGCTGCAATGGACGGATAGAGCGAAAGAGCGGAGTAGAAAAACGGGCTCCACAAAATTTTTGGGTTGGTTGTATTCACAAAAGGTTTATACCAAGGTCTTGCTGTCATATCAACACTGGAATAATAACTGGCCATAATATTGGATGGAGCTAAAATATTATCTATATCATTAATGACATGATAGTCAGTGACAGGTCTAGTTAAATTGACTGCATTTTGAGATTTGTGAAAAATTCTCACATAGGTCAGTTCTAATCCAACCATGCTCTGATCAAATCTTCCAAAATATGACATTTGAATTGGTAATTTGTACTGATAGACCCTTTTCAAGTTATCGAAAAGTTTTAGCCAACCTAGATTATCATTTACATTAACATCAAGGGATTGATATAAAACATGATTAATTGCCAACGACGTCGTTTTGATCAAGTCACTCAGTTCGTAATCCATAACTAGATTCATTTGAAGCTTTTGTTTGGCGATTGACCTTTGCACAATATTATCTCCTGTTGTGTAGAGCAAAATAAATGCTGAAATAATAACAGGATTTTGGATTAACATGAAATTATTATTTGAAAATCAGCCCACGGATTTTCCACTATCTCACTATGTTGAATCCTACTTACAAGAAAACAATCCAAACAATCCTTGCAAAATAAATAACATCAAAACCACGTTCATGATTGTAATACATTGCGGTGGCCATTTCATGAGTTTCCAAAGCCACGAATAATGTTTTTTATCCGACTTGGCATTGATACTACTACAACTAACCAGAGATTCGCAAGAAGAAGAGGAAGATCGTTGTTGTTGTTTCGGGTCATCCACAGGATGGTCCTGATTCATTCGTCTTTCATGTTTGTTGGTTCCTATGGCCGTAGAAGAATACAAAACTCCAAGTGGAAGAGAAGTGGTATCATCCTCTTCACCCATTGCAATGATCGTTTCTCCTGGTTCCGAGCGCGTTGGAGAATGTGCAAAGGTTGTTGCTGCTATTGTTGAAAGAGAGTCTTTCTGTTGGTGCATCTCTCTCCGAAGAAGAAGGATGCGCGTATATACGCGAGGGTTACAACCACCGCTACTGAATGAGGAGGAGGATGAGGAGGATGTGTTCCTGCGTGCGAAAAAGAGGTTGAAATATTTCGCCTCCTCTTTCTTCTCGTTTTTTTTGTCGTTGTTTATGTTCCTTTTTTGCCAAGTTTGGAGTTGAAATTAGAAAGGTGCATTGTGGATCATGATGAGAAGGATTGAGACCATAACTATGTGCAGTATCTCGGAACCATTGAAACCCTTTAAACTTCTCAACATGTTTTGAAACTATTTCTTGTTGTTAAAGGAAATTTATTTTCATAAACACATGGAATTGAAGCAAGGTGAGGAACATACAAAGATGAAAGTTAGAATAAAATATAAGAATGCAATGAATAACCTTCTAAGCGTTTTGTGTTCAAGAGTCTATTGAATAAAAGTTTTGTTGTTGAATATACGGATTGAATATCTACTCTTCAAAAAAAAATAAATGATACCACTGCTCTATAATAAAGGAGATGAAAACAATGATGATCGAAAATGATCTTAAATAAGGCTTGTTTAGAATGTAAATGCGATTATTCCTTTTGACAGGTCACACTCCTCAACAACAAGTGACAGGTGAAAAAAAACACTCAAAAAAAAATGTCCCAACTGAATCAACACTTGATCGAACAGTTGACCAAAACTCCAGAAGAAATCGCAAAACTCCAAGAAACCGAACAGAAAATTGGAGGCATCATCAATTGGTGTGCCTACAATTATCAAAATGCCGATAAAGCCTCAACCTTTGAAAAGACTCAACAATATTTGGCTGCTGTATTGACTGTAAGTGGTTGATATGAATAATAGGAATAATAGGAAAGAATGATGATGTTTGATTCAAACCATTGGATTCATGTATTGTGTTGGAATCTTTCCGTATTGTTGTTGTTGTTGTTGATGATTTTCAAAATCTTCTGATTTCCTCTTTTGATGATGGTGTTTTTTTGCTGATGATGGGTTTTTTCTATGTCCTATATTTCAATGATGATGAATTCAAACTCTTCGAATCATCATCGTAATGATCATGTTCTAATCATCATGCTCCTTCTCATTCCAACAAAACCATAACAACCATCATAACAACTCTGAATTCACACACACCTACACACGTGCTCTCTCTCTTGTCCTCGATTGCTTTCATCTCACCATCCAACCACCACAAACATTACTACAAACATTCAGAATGTTGTCTTTTATGTAGAATCATCAAGTCGTGAATTAGAAACACTCATCGAATTAGAAGCTCAAGAAATCAATCGTATTGGTTCAGAAATGACCATCATTTACGATCGTTTAAAATCTGCTCGTTCCTTGACTGGTCGTGAAGAGTTGACTAAAATGCATGCTGTGAAACCCACAATGAGAACTGGTTTGAAAAAGAGAACCGTCGAAGTGACAACAAGTACTCACACCAAGGACTTGAAAATGAGTCATGGAGATATTAATTTGAATTCCTGTAGTAATATTGGTATTTCCATTAGTGGCAATGAGAATAATTATTCACAATCGAGTCCAAATACTTCCACCACTCCAGTCACCATGCCAAACACCAACAACAGTTTTTACAGTTCAAGAGCAAATGAGACTGGTTCTTCCTTTATTCGTTCTGCTTCGACTGCTCGTTTAGGAACACCTGTGAATTTGGAAGTGCCATCCAGTCTTTCCACAACAACATCAACACCTGCGACACCTCCTCCATCTTCACAATCGACTTCTTCATTCTATAATCGATCCAATAGTAGCATTAATGTTCCTCCTCCACCACCATTATCATCCACCCATGTTGTTGTTGTTGATTATGGTCACAATTCTTCTCCTCCACCACCTCCACCACAGAATAACATGCCACCTCCACCTCCACCATCCTCATCGAGTGGTGTGCCACCTCCACCCAAGTCCACACCTCCTCCACCACCATCATCTTCATCCAGTGGTGTTCCTCCTCCACCTCCAAGTGGTGCTGGTGTTCCTCCTCCACCAATGAAAATGGTGTCCACACCTCCTCCTCCACCACAGAATGTGGAAATTCCTGAAGATCCAACTGGTGGTGGTCGTGGTGATTTGTTGGCATCCATTCGAGCTGGTAAGGCATTGAGAAAAGTTCCTCCACCAAATGACGCACCAAAATTGCCATCTAAAAGTGAGATGAGTGGTGGTGGAAGTGCTTCTACAAGTAGCAGTGGTGCTGGAGGCGGTGGTGGTGGTGACATGATGTCACAAATCTTGGCAAAACGTAACAAGATGATGAACAAGTAAAGTAATTCTTTGTATTCTACGACTCGAGTTGTGGTATTTATTCCATATTACTCATACACTGACGATATAGAATGCAAAACCTGTTACATGTATCATGACAATTGACCAATATAGCTATTTTTCATAGCCTTTGATTGAACATCTTAATAAATCTGATTTTCTTTGTCATCATTACCGTTGAACTTGATTGAAAACCCTAGGTATTTAGGTGTGATTTTGTAATACTTCACAACTTCAGTTTCAATCTGAAATGCTGCGACAACCCCCCTTGATAAAAGAAAATGGATTTTGATTCTTCATTACAGTCTCTTCAATGGATTCGAATTCCTCCTGACTGTTTCTTGCTTCTTGCAGTTTCCCTTAACGTGTTCAAAATCTTTACCAAGCTTAAAATCGATATGTTCTGTTTTTTCTTTGAGGTGGGAAAATCCAAAAAGCCAGTCTTCATTGGGACTCATTAGTACTTTGACACTTAAAAACCAAATCGAATGTCAAACATATATTAATAGTCTGCTTGAATTAATAGATGCTGATAAGAATCGGTTCCATCCTTAATGATTTATTTTAATGACAGAGTTTATTATTTTGCCCAATGCTTTTCAGGCTCCTGATTTCACAATCAGAAATGTCACAAGACAAAACTTATATTAAAATCACATACCTTTCCTTCTGAAATTAATTTTCGATTATTCTCCTCAAATATTCGGTGATAGTGTGGTTTAAGTAACTCGGGAATCTCTATTGGTTCATTAAACCAATGACCTTGTTCTTGTGTGAGAATTTTACGTGCTTCTCTGTCAATTCGATTGGCCTTAGTTCCATATGCAAAATCCACTATTGAAATAATAATAAGAAAATTTGGAAAATGACACAAAAGAACTCACCTAAATAGGTCATCCAAAACGGAACTATTATGTATGGTAAATAATTGAGTGGTAATGGATCAAATCTTCTCAGATATAACATTCTCGCAAAAGAAACACCTCCCATGACGGTATAAAATCCTGAACCAACAACAATATTGAGAAATGATGGTGATCATGATTCCAAAATCAAATGCAAAAAATGTGAAGATTTCACAAATATTTCAATTCATATTTAAAATTAATATTTTCAATTTAAAATATTATCATTATTGGAATATTCATATTATTATTGAATTTTCATCTGATGAATGTACCAAAACCATACATCGGAATTATTTACCTCCCAACCACCAAACCCTATCCCTCGTAGTAGCCAGCCTTGTGGCAATTTCATAATCTCTCCTTCGTTTCATACTTTTTAATTTTATTAATTGCTGTTGAATCAAGGCTTGTTTTTGTTTTTCTTCCACTTCCTTCAACACTCGATCCGATAGGGATCCAAATAGGTATTGACCCATTTTTTGTTGAATCAAAACCATGATTCTTATTTTCGTGATCCTTAGGATTAATCCTTAGGAATCAATCACATGGTGAGTGATCATTGTGTGGTTGTGCTAATTTGTATTGTCATATGGAGCTTTTCAAACTCGACTTAAGGTTGTTTATTGTTCTTTATTTGTTTTCATGTCTTCACACCTCCAGCATGCTGTCAAAGATAAATGTCATTTAAATAGAAGCAGTGCTCTGAGAGATTGAACTCGTACTCTCCTTCATGATAATCACTTCTTGAGGAAGACATTTACAAGCTCCATGATAATGAATATCCACATTGGCACATCTTGCAGTACAAGCCGAGTTGTAAGTGAGACCATTCACACCACACACAGGATTATATTCAATGGCACATTGACATTTTTCTTGTTCATGAATATGAGTCACTTCTTCTTGATGAATAATTTGTTCCCATTCTTCAATCATGGAAGAGAGTTCAACTTCTAAGCTTTGGGTGGAGTATACTTTTTGTTTCATGAGTTCAATAATTGAAATTTGAAGTCTAATGTTTTCAATTTGTTTTGAGAGTTTCTTGGCCACAACGACATATTCTTCATAGACTTGTTTTGAGACTTTGACAGATGACTGATAAATTTCATAGGCCTTCTCCATTTCCATCTTGTACTTTTTAATCAATTTAGTGTAATATCTTGTCAATTTAGTCTTCTTTGAAGAGGAGAGTCTGATCTTGAGAATTTCCATTTGTAATCTCTTGAGTAAAATTTTGTAATATTCAACAAGTTTACAAGCTTTAGTGACCTTTGCTTGAGCCACAATAACCTGTCTGTTATTTTCGACATATTCTTTTTTAATCTTTTGTTCCAAACGATCCAATGATTGCCAAGCGAGATGAAGGTCTTTTTGATTTTTCGTCAACTTGTTAATTTGTTTGACATGTTCTTGAAGTGCTTTTTGTTGATCAGCATAGGAAAGCTTTGTAATGTCAGATTTGAGTATTTGTTCAAATTGGGCATCCAATTGAGCTGAAAGTTTGTTGTTGTCTTTGGTCTTTCCGGCGAGTACGGTCGAGTCTACGACCACCAGAACCACAACCATCACAACAGCAATGACAATCGACAAGAATTGAAATTTCATTTTGTGATGATGAAGAGCGATGAAGAAGCCTTCAGAGTTGTAACACCGTTACGAGTGTTTGTTGTTGTTGTTGATCCAATGAAGTTAACCGATAAAAGGTGTTTGTTTTCTCCTCTACTCTGGTCTCTCTCAAAATTTTTTTTGATGGTGAGCGCTTTATCAGTCATCTGTCATTTGGAGTGACTTGCTGAGTGGAAAAATGTTGATTAAG